AGCTTAGCCTGTGGTACCTCGGCAGTAGCCCCAGTATTTTAAAATTCTGTGAGATCAGCTTTTTTTTTCAACTCCACATAAGATATCAGGTAATATTTTCCTGATAATAGTTATGTGAGATACCTTAATACTAATTTCCAAATTGATTAACTAAACATCAGTCAAAGACAATAAAATGTCTACAAACACACACACATAATTATCATACTAGGATAGAAATGATTTCTTCAAGGTAAAACAATTAGTGTGATTCTAAGAGTTGTTGTCTCTCAGTAACACGGCATCTGTTACTAATCTGCAACACCCACAATACGTATCTGTTTTAGTATTTTTCTAGAGGAACAATTGCCAAAAATATATTGCTAAGCTCATGTCTATTTATATGTAGTTTGGATATGAAAAGCCAAATCATGAGATATAAAAGCAAGAATATAGCAATCATTTGGTTTTTCTCTGGCTTGCATCATTATATTTGCATTTCTTAAAGTTTTATTTAGCATGTTTTTGTGCTTGTTTGAGGTGGTTTTTTTTTTTTTTTTTTTTGAAAGGCAGAGTGGACAGTGAGAGAGAGAGACAGAGAGAAAGGTCTTCCTTTGCCGTTGGTTCACCCTCCAATGGCCGCCGCGGCCGGCGTGCTGCGGCCGATGCACCGCGCTGATCCGATGGCAGGAGCCAGGATCCAGGTGCTTTTCCTGGTCTCCCATGGGGTGCAGGGCCCAAGCACTTGGGCCATCCTCCACTGCACTCCCTGGCCACAGCAGAGAGCTGGCCTGGAAGAGGGGCAACTGGGACAGAATCCGGCGCCCCGACCGGGACTAGAACCCACTGTGCCGGTGCCTCTAGGCAGAGGATTAGCCTAGTGAGCCGCGGCGCCGGCCTTGTTTGAGGGTTTTTATAGTCACTTGTTGCTTGTTCATATTTTCTGTTTGACTTTTATATATGTGATCATGTTAAACAGGTTTATTTTATAATACCCATTTATGCTATCTCATGCCTTCATGATTGTAATTCTATTATAGTTTTTATTCAAATATTTATTTAAATAATTACTTATATTTCTATTTTGCCTATTAGCTTTTGCTTCTGTCGGCTTTCTTTATTGGATATATGATCTCTGACATGAAATGAGTGTCCTAGAAAACTTATATGTGGAAATATAATTACTAGCAATCATAGTCCACCAGAAAAAAACTGTTTTTCTCTGTCAGTCCTTGAGAGTATTATCAAATAGAAAATAATCTGGGGCCGGTGCTGTGGCGTAGCGGGTAAAGTCCACCTGCAGTGCCAGCATCCCATATGGATGCCAGTTCTAGTCCCGGCTGCTCCACTGCCGATCCAGCTCTCTGCTATGGCTTGGGAAAGCAGTAGAAGATGGCCCAAGTCCTTGGGTCCCTGCATCCGTGTGGCAGACCTGGTGGAGGCTCCTGGCTCCTGGCTTTGGATTGGCCTTGCTTCTGCCGTTGCCACCATCTGGGGAGTGAAACAGTGGATGGGAGACCCTTCTCTCTGTCTCTCCTTCTCTGTGTAACGCTACCTCTCAAATAAATAAATAAATAAATCTTAAAAAAAATAATTTAAATTAAGTGCCTGATTGGTTGAAGCTTTTGAACACTTTAATTAATTGAGATTTTTACTCTTTGTCCTGCCATTCAGTGTTCAGTGAGATGAGGGTTTTTTTTTTTTTTTTTTGGACAGGCAGAGTGGACAGTGAGAGAGAGAGACAGAGAGAAAGGTCTTCCTTTGCTGTTGGTTCACCCTCCAATGGCCGCCACGGCCGGTGCGCTACGGCCGGCGCGCTGCGGCCGGTGCACCGCGCTGATCCGATGGCAGGAGCCAGGTACTTATCCTGGTCTCCCATGGGGTGCAGGGCCCAAGCACTTGGGCCATCCTCCACTGCACTCCCTGGCCACAGCAGAGAGCTGGCCTGGAAGAGGGGCAACCGGGACAGAATCCGGCACCCCGTCCAGGACTAGAACCCGGTGTGCCGGCGCCGCAAGGCGGAGGATTAGCCTAGTGAGCCGCGGCGCCGGCTAGAGATGAGCTGTCTTGTCCTTAACGTCAAAGGATAATCGTAGTCCTTTTTCATGACTTGGTCTTACACAAAATATTTATGTTCTAATAATTAGCTCTATACAGATGTGTCTTCCTGCTTTATCCATTATTATGTCCCTAATTTTGTATATTTTGGAAGTCTGATCTTTCTTTTCTTTTTAATAATCCTATTCTTACCTTGATTGTTCTCTTTCTTTTAATTTCTATGGCTTACTCTGCTATTTCTTTAAACTGTTTAAATTTAATTCTTACCTCACTTTTTTTATATGTTCTTTTGTTAAAAGATTTTATTTATTTATTTGAAAGTCAGAGTTATACAGAGGAGAGGCAGAGAGAGAGAGAGTCTTCCATCCACTGGTTCACTCTCCAATTGGCTGCAACAGCTGTGCTGCGCCAATCTAAAGCCAGGAACCAGGAGCCCCTACCAGGTCTCCCACATGGATGCAGGGACGCAAGGACTTGGGCCATCCTCTGCTGCTTTCCCAGGCCCCAGCAGAGAGCTGGATCAGAAGAGGAGCAGCTGGGACTCGAGCCAGCACCCATATGGAATGCCGGCACTGCAGGCGGCAGCTTTACCTGCTACGCCATTCACCAGCTCCCTCACTTATTTTTAATTGTCCATTTTGGAATACATGAAAACATTTAGTTTCATATTAAATATTCCTGGTGTCATATTTTACAACTTTGCAATCATTTTTCAATATATTTAAATAAATACTATGACTCTTTTTTTTGCCCTGAGTGATTGGGAAAGTCATTTTGTCTTTAACTGGCAAGATAAAATACTGTTTTACACATTTCCTTTTTAATAACTAGAAAAATATTTTGTATTTAAGTATAAAACTCAATTTTAAAGAAGTGAACACACTTTCAAAGTCAGCACCCAGATTTAGAAACCGAATATTTAGATACAAGTCAGGTTATTGTTCCTTCTGTTTATTTAACTCCTGTCTTGACTAATAACGCCATTACTTTGCCTATGTTTAGAATTGCAGTGTATTAACATTATGTCCACTGCTTTTTCTGTTTCTAAGATTTTTCACATTTCATTTTTGTGAAGTACATCCAGACTGTTGTGTTTAGAAATTATTATGGTTAAACATCGCACTTAGCGGGCATATGGATATTGTTACATGTTGAAGGAAGCTAATATTAGAGTGCTTCAGCACACATGTATGCATTTTCTCCTGGGATAAATCTGTAATTACAATTGTTGAGCCATGTTTTATAATTATCCAAGTAGTTATATCAATCTTTTACAACAAAAAAAAGGAGAATTTTTGTAGTCTACATTGTTTTTACTAATGGTCCTTGCTTCCTCTCCCAGGGGGACCTGTGCAGACTTCACACACTCGCAGTGTAATAGCCTGTAAAGCACACGGCCCCTCTCAGCCCTAACGCTCACTGGACACTTCATCTCATCTACCTCCTTTCCCAGAATTAAAATTGTGTTCTTAATGAGAATCAAATGAAATACAAATATGTTTGAGACATATGAAATACTTAAAACGAGATGAGCATATGACAACCACTAGTCAAGCCTTACGAAGTGTAGAAATAGTATTCTATCTCACCTATCACACTTGATGAATGGCACAGCAGGAGTGAGAGAGAGCACTCAGGAGTAAACTAACACCAACACTGACCTTGGGCCCAGCAACAGGGCGCTTGTTTTTTATGAGTCGCCAACAGTGCTGTTTCTTGAGAAACATGCTGAAGGAGAATGGATGGCTTGAACTTATCCTGGGTGGAAACAAGAGCACGCTTTGCACAGGTGAGTAGCTGGCATCTGAAAGAAGCAAAGCATCCAGGTAAGATACGTTAGGGTTTCGTTAACCGTGTGCAGCCTGAGGTCTAGGCCTGGAAAGCTTGATTGTGCATAGTCACCCACACCCCTATGCACCTGTTTATGTGCTCCTAGTGCTTTCTGGGTGTCCCCAGCCGGAAGCAGTGCTGCTCAGTTCTCTCTACCAAACTTGCAGACCCTGTCCCAGCTTAGAATCAAAGACCTCATTTGAAATTGATGGCTGTTATAAAAGAATTGCGGGCTTGCCTCATGCAGGGACGGAGTAGGATTAATCCTTCTGTAATATTCCATAGAGTCACCTTCTACTCCTGGATGCCAAAACACCAGGACGACGAACATTATCACCACTCAGTCTCTCTTACTTTAGGACTTTGATCCCTCAGCTGTATCACTGGCTTCTCATCTGCTCAACCTCTAGAGCCCGTTTCCCTCATCATTTTATATTTTTATGTTAATAGTTGCTGAATCTCTGCCCTCCCTCTCATATATTTATGTAATTATTCTAGATTTTATATGTGAATAGTTACTAAATCAAATAAATCATAATTTCAGATTTTACATGTTAATAGTTGCTAAATATACTTGTCATATACACATACATATGACTTTCAAGATATATATGGGTTATGAGACTGGTGCTGTGGCGTAGCGGGTAAAGCCACCGCCTGCAGTGCCAGCATCCCATATAGGCACCAGTTCGAGTCCCCACAGCTCTGCTTCCAATCCAGCTCTCTGCTTTGGCCTGGGAAAGAAGCAGAAGATGGTCCCAATCCTTGGGCCCCTGCACCTGCATGGGAGGCCCAGAAGAACTCCTGGCTCCTGGCTTCAGATCAGCACAGCTCCAGCTGTTGCAGCAAACTGGGGAGTGAACCAGAGGATGGAAGACCTCTCTCTCTCTCTCTCTCTCTCTCTGCCTCTCCTCTCTCTGTGTAACTCTTTCAAGTAAATAAATAAATCTTTAAAAATAAAATGTCACTGTCATTCTAAACTACGTAAAATATATGAATTTCTAAACATAAGCAACTATTATAGTACTGATAATGCTAACATTGGATCTTTTTCAAAGTGTACTCCATTTTTGAAAGTCACCACATACCTATTTCTGATTTACTAAACAATCTATTCATTTGCTTTATCTCAGGTGATTTACGTTATCACAATTGATGGGAAACCATGCACCCTGCATCTCAGAAAACAGTAAGATAACGACTTTTCTCTTTAAGCAAATGATGGTTTCAAATTTAGATTTTGCTCTTTTTAAAATTTTTGTACAGTATTTCAATTCATGAATGCTTTTTCATGAATCTACTTTTCAATTTAAGACTCATTAAGTCTTGAATATTAATCTATGACAATCTTACTTTTAAATTATTCCACTTGGTATTTTCATATTAATAAGTAAGAAACTTATTGAAAATCTCCAGTTAAGTAGAAGCCACTGAACCCAAGGTCTGAGAGTTACATGTCAGGTAATATGATGTGAAATCAAGCACTGTTATGCTGTTGGTGGAAAATTCAAGCAGTGGTGTTCATTTTATTATGTGTTTATTTTTAACAACTTTCTTAAACATGTTTTACATACAAAATTCACCAAAATGTGAAGTTCAACCATTTCAACAACTCCATGACGTGTTGCCACCTTCAGCTCTAAACCAGTGCCAGGCTCTTTCCTCCCCAGAGAGAAGCCTGCATAACAGTCTTTTCACTATTAACCTGGGCCCACCCTCACTGCAGGCAGTAATCAGCTGCTATGTGTGTCCTGATTTGCATCTATTAGCACTTCAAAGAAGCAGAACCAAGCAGCCTCTTCTCTGCTGGTCTATTTTAAAGTGTTTATAGCAACAGTCCTTTGTCTGCCTTATCCTTCGATAAGGAGATTTATTCTCACCTAATTCATGAGTGCCCCCAGTTAATTCAAGTTTACTATTCTCACACTAGCCTTTCACATCTTTGCAACTGCACTAAAAGAATTCTTTTACAGGATCGTCAGTGTTCATGTTTTTTAACATCGCTTTTGCTTTATTTTGCTTATTTTTATTTTATTTGAAAGGCAGACAGAGATTTGAAAGGCAGGCAGAGAGATATTAGATGTGATAGGTAGGTAGATAGATAGACAGACAGACAGATGGACAGACAGGAATCTCCCATCTGCTGATTCACTCCACAAATGCCCACAACTGCCAGGGCTGGCATTGGCTAAAGGCAGAAATCTGGAACTCCATCTCCGGCTCCCATGTGGGTAGCAGACGCAAATACTCAAGCCATCACCTGCTGCCTCCCAGCATGTGAATTGCAAGAAACTAAAGAGCTGGGATTCAAACCCAGGTACTAGTGTTGTGTCCGAATTTTCCAATCAATGCACAAGGCACAGTCATGGTATTTGTTACCAGCCGGCTGGGACCCCCTACCCGCACACAGCCCTTTAGCAGTGCACAGGCAAAAGGCCCCTTCATTTGCATAAGAGAGGTTTTTGTAGCCTCACACTTGCAAGGGTGCAGGTCATCTCCTATTTGGTTACCTTCTTACTCTATATGGCAAGGTACTGGGACCTAACATGTTCATTGGTTCATTTAAATGTAAAGGCTATATACGTTATGTGGGGGGAAGGCCACACAAAGGGGATGGCACGGGGAGCCACTGGCGGGAAGCACCGGGCCATAAGTCCCAGGGGAGCTGGTGGGGGGCAGGAGGTCATAAATTCCGGGGGAGCATAGCAGGCGAGCAAGCAGCCAGAGGACAGGAGACTCCAACTCCTACACTAGAATATGGCAAGCTGATGTCCCAAGCAAAAGTTCAGCCACTGTGCCCCACATGCCAGCTCCTGATACAGTTGGTTTTAAGTCTTCATTTTATCCTGGCACTTGTCAGCATTTGGTAAAGCTGATGAATGTCTCTTCTGCAAAATAATGTCTTAATTTGGCTCATAGAGTGCCACAGACTCCTAGTTCAGGTTCGACTTGTATCTTTGTGATCTCTCTTGTTCTTCCTTTCTTTTTTTCTTCCTCCTCTTCCTCTGAAGTGGGAGGGGTGGGGTCTAATTTGAATCCAAGTGCCTTGACTTTTACTGAGAGGACAAAATGGCAAACTTCATTTAAAGGGTGAGAAGGTAAACACACACACACACACACACACACACACGCATCTGCACAGTTGAGCAATGGAGTGGGCCAGAGGCAGAAAAGGGGTGGGGGAGGCGAGGTAGAGAGAGGGTGCCTTCAATGCCTCCTCTCCCCCTGGTCTCCAAGGAAAGAAGGGCCCCTCCCAACTACCTACCTTTTGATAAGGTTGGCACTTCCCACAGGATCCAGGTGAAGGACAGACAGCAGATGTGGGGTAGTTTTGATTAACAAGTAGGCAGGTAGAATCACGTGGGGCAGGGGCTCATGGTCTGCGACCTCCCCCTCAGCTAGCTGCCTTAGCCCATGTCACCTCCTCCTCTCTCCAGTCTTAGAATCCTCTGTAGTGCTGTTTGTCGCTCCCCGTCTTCGTGGAGGAACGACACAGGACCCTGCGCTGTTCTTTTGTCTGCTCGGCCCTTCCTGGGTTTGCTGCTGGTTCTTCCCGGGTTGGCTACCGTCCCTTCCACCTCCGTGGAAGGGCAGTTCCCCCTGGCCACTTTCCCCACTTCCGCGGGGGAGCGGCACACCGCCGGCCGGCTCTCTCGGGGGCTGCACAGGTGTTCCTTCAGATAGATGTTCCCCTTAGATGTTCCTGGTGCATGTTGTCTCTCTCCCCCTTTATAGTCCTCTTCCACCAATCCCAACTCGGCTGCCCACACGCCGAGTACGCTGCTCTCCTCCAATCAGGAGCACGTCCTACAGTTTATTGGTTGAACTGGAGGCAGCTGAGTAGAAGCTGTTTCTCCCTTCTCAGCGCCATATTGTGGGAGAGCAGATGCATAAAATAAGTCTTAATTCCAGTAACTTAGTCTAGTCCGAGTTGCTCCCCACACTGTTCTTCATTTTTTTTCTAGCTATATTCAATCACTTGGTTATTTCATTCACACAAGACTTACACAGTCTGTCACATTGTTAAGAAAGCCTGAACTCTTTGAAATACTACACCAATGAATTTCAACTATTACACCATACTAATTGCCCAAATTAAATGCTGCTCTGTTTATTTCTAATATTTTTTATTTTACTATTTATTTTGATTATTTCAGTGTGTACATTCATATTAAACCTGTGACAAGCTTTTATTCTGTTCTTTTTTAGCTCATTCCTACCCCAGAACCTACGGATTTATACACAAAATGAGACCAGAGATTTGCCTTCTGAGACTTTGTATTTTACAGTAAGAGTCAGATGTCTTAGAAATTTTTTGTCGCATGTTTTCCAGTTGAAATGGACTTGTCATTTCCATTAGGATAATTTTTTCCATGTTAACAGTTTAATACAAATGTTTTATCCTATAGAACTCTGACCTAGGGTTGATTGTGGCGCATAGCAGTGGCCTGTGCTAGAGATGAAACCAAGAGTGTTAGGAACATAGATCAACCTTGTACAGATAATTGAGGAACACTGCTCTTAGTTTTTTTTTTATGCCATTTGTTCTTTTTTTATTTTTATTTCTCTTTCTGGAATAAAAACAAGGGAGAGAGCAGGAAGTGGGGGGAGAGTGGGTAGGAGGGAGTCACTATGGGAAGAATTACTATGTACATAATGTATTTATGAGACACGTACAAATTAAAAATAAATAAATGAATGAAATTGTGTTAGGAAAAGAGGCGCAGAATAGAGTGGAGGCAGTGTATGAATTTACAGCCAGATCGAATTTATTCAGAGAAAATAAATTTGTGGAGGTGCATGACCAACTGCCAGCATGCATATTGATGGAACACATGGCAGAAGGCCAGGTCCCCATGGGCCTGGCCTTTTTATATATTAGGAGGGCTAGGTGTGGGGGTGGGGGTGGGCTAGCAGGTGGAGAGGAATTCCTGAAACTGGTCTTTCAGGTGATGTGGCCACTGTGAGGGGCCTTGGGAACCTGTGAAAGATTGCAGGGGTGAGGTATGAAGGTGATGGGGTGTGAGACCCAATTGAGATTCAAGGGCAAGGAATACATTCCAGTGTTTATCTATCTTTTGGGCAAAGATTGAGAATGGCTGAGGCTTATGTCTTTTTTCTATCAAGAGAATATTCATGGACACCTAGGCTTCAAAGTAAACGTCTTTTCCTGAAAGTTTTTCATTAAAATTCTTTATGATCCATGATGTCATTAAGCCTTTAATATCTTGAGTCTGCTAAAGTACAGTATACTCTCTCGGAAAGAATTCCTGGCTCCACTCATCCATACTGTGTTTCAGACGAACTGCCATTACCAAGGATATGCTGCGGAATTTCCAGATTCAGCTGTGACCCTCAGTATCTGCTCTGGTCTCAGGTAACAGAGAATCTCTGTACGTGGAGGACGTTGGTAATGCTCTAAAATGAACTCAGTGGCTAGCAGATAGGAAACCTGGGAAGGCTGAGGGCAAATTCAGATCTGAGGGATTCTCTTAGGATGGCCTTACATTCATCTATATTAACACCTACACCTAAGTGCTCGCTCAAATGGAATCAATCCAGGGAGTTCTAAACACCGTTCCAGAATACTGTGCAGAGGAGATAGCTCCATAGAAGGAAACTTAAGAACATCTCCCTAAGGCCGGCACCGCGGCTCACTAGGCTAATCCTCCACCTAGCGGCGCTGGCACACCAGGTTCTAGTCCTGGTCGGGGCGCCCGATTCTGTCCCGGTTGCCCCTCTTCCAGGCCAGCTCTCTGCTGTGGCCAGGGAGTGCAGTGGAGGATGGCCCAGGTGCTTGGGCCCTGCACCCCATGGGAGACCAGGAGAAGTACCTGGCTCCTGCCATCAGATCAGCGCGGTGCACCGGCCGCAGCGCGCCAGCCGTGGCAGCCATTGGAGGGTGAACCAACGGCAAAGGAAGACCTTTCTCTCTGTCTCTCTCTCTCACTGTCCACTCTGCCTGTCAAAGAAAAAAAAAAAAATCTCCCTAATGTCATCATTGCACTCTGTCAGTTATGAGGAATAGTTATGGAAAATGGCATAAATTAGTTAAATCTAATATATTTATATTTTACATTTATGTATATATAAACACACATAGCATGCACTCAGTTTAACACCACACATAAAATAACTAATTTAGAAGGGCCAACATTATGCCACCTGCAACACCAACTACTGTCCCAGCTGCTCCACTGCCAATCCTGCTCCCTGCTAATGCCCCTGGGAAAGCAGTGGAAGACGGCCCAAGTGTTTGGGTGCCTGCCTCCCACTTGGGAGAGAGACCTGGATGGCATTCCAGACTCCGGGCTTCAGCCTGACCCAGCTCCAGCTATTGCAGCCATTTGTGGATGGAATATTTCTCTTTCTCTCTCTCTCTCACTCTCACTCTGTGTCTCTCTTTCTCTGTCTCTCCCTCTCTCTCTGTAACTCTGCATTTCTGATAAATAAACCTTTAAAAAATAACGAATTAAGAAGATTGCTCAGAGGTAAAGGGTGGGATGAGAGAGATTCTCACTGATGCTGGGAAGCTTATTTTTGGTAAGTTCATAAGAGAACGAAGGATCCAGGATGGCTCTCTTTTACTTCCTTTTGGTTGTCTAGTTTCCAGAATTTATCCATGTAGACTTGTGATACTGACCTCCCCTGAATGTGTTTTTCCCAGCTGCCAGTCTGCTCTACCACATATCTAATGTTTTCTCTTCGAATCTCTATAAGAACAGGAACCTTATTTTTGGAATTCTCAACAAACCCTTTGGTTCCTGGCAGACCATGGCCTTAATTTATCTGAAAAGGGTGTGATTACTATCTACAAATTAGAAAATACTGTGGGCTTTGCTGCCTTCTTTAAAAGTTGAGCAAGATGCACTGGCTGCTATGACTGGGAGACTGGAAAATTCACGGAGGACCGGCAAAGACGAGGCCTCCTCTGGGGTCTCTGCTTTGGTGTAGCGTGTCAGACTGCAGCGTGGTGGCCTCTTCCTCAGGATTTCTGCAGTTACTGCTTTCTGAATCTTCAGGGGATTTCTCCAGTTTGAGAATGTCAGCTATGGAATTGAACCACTAGCAGCTTCGGCAAGATTTGAGCACATAGTTTATCAAGTGAAAAATGACGATCCAGAAATACCGTTGTCAGCAGGAAATTACACTGTTTGGCAGAAAGACCAGCCTTCCAAAGTTCATTTCAGCTCCCAGGTAACTAGTGATTCTGATGTAGTGATATACCAGCAAAATACTTCTACAGACTTTTCACGATCACAAAAGGAAATGCCGTAGCTACCAAGTAGCAATGTTGAATTTTTTTGTCTCCTTTTCATATCTTGAAGTGAAACATCCAAATTGCATAACATTATATAATATTATATTTCAAGATTTGTGCTTTTTGTTATATTATGCAACATTTCTATGTTTTCTGCATTTTTCAGACAGAACACATATTGCTTGTCAAATATAAAGTTTGTCAATATAAGAACAGAGTCACAGTTACTCTAGTACTTTGGAAACATTGCTTTTAATATTTTGACATAAAAGTTGGCAGCCTTTTGGTGTAGTGGGTGAAGCTGCTGCCTGCAGTACTGGCATCCCATATGGATGCCTGTTCATGTCCCATATGCTCCGTTTATGCTCTCTGCTAATGTCCTGGGAAAGCAGTGGAAAATGGCCCGAGTGTGTGGGCCCCTGCACCCAAATGGGAAACCCCGAAAGAAGCTCCTGGCTCCTGGCTCCAGCCTGGTCCAATGCTCACCCTTGCAGTCAACTGTGCAGTGAACAAGCAGAAAGGAGAGCTCTCTGTCTTTCCGTCTCTCTCTGTGACTCTGACTTTCAAAATTACTAAATAAATCTTTTTTAAAAAATATTTCAATATGTAGCTCTGCATGCTGACTGACTGTATCTTCCAATATAGTTCATCATTTATGTATTATTCAACTCTCCAGATTCTCTGATGGACCGGATACAGAACAATCGGTTGACAGTTTCTTTCTTTCAGCACTTTCCCTATTTCAGTCCACCACTTTCTGCTTTCCATGGTCTCTGGTCAAAGATCAGCTTTCACTGTTACTGAGAACTTGAAAATGATGAGTCCAGTCTCTGTTTATGCTTCTGATGCATCTCTGAGTAGGTCTCTTTGTGTAAATCCTACGTGCAGTTTATTGAACTTTCTGGAATTGGAAGTTAGTTTATTTTTTAATCAAATTTAGGGAGATTGGATCATGAAGTCTTTGGATATTTTTCTGCCTCTTTATCTTCTTCCATTCCTTCTGGTATCCTTATGTACATGTCAACACACTTGATTACTGGTCCATGGATTTCCGGGCTGTGTTCATTTTCCTCCATCCTCTTTTCTTTTTCTTAATTGACCTATCATCAAGTTCACTGATTCTTTCTTCTGCTGCTTAACTACTCAATGTTTAATTTCAGTTATTGCATTTTCCAATTCCAGGATTTGTAGTTCATTTTTGTCATTTCTACTTGTCCCTTTATTGATATTCTCTACTTAGGGAGCTATTAAAATAACTAACAGCTGTTTATGCACAATTTCTATTATTTCTTTGAAATTATTGTAGACAGATAATGTAAAATATTTTTTCTAATAGGTCCAACATCTGGTCTTCCTAAAAGACAAATCTGTTGATTTTTTTCCCTTTTATGCAGGTCATTCTGATTGGACTCTTTTCATCTCTCAACTATTTTGAAAATTGGAAATACCAGTTAGTATAATGTTAGCATCTGGGAATCTGTATCTACTCCCCTTTCCCCAGAGATTTTCTTGCTGTTTAGCGCAGTTGTTGCTTTTGTGACTTTCTGCTCTGGTTCTCTAAGGTCTGTAATTTTTGCTATGGATCGTGCCCAAAGCCTCTCTCCTGTCGTCTCACCGATGGCTTTCTGTGCACACTGACACAGGCCTTCATCATTCAGCAAGGAGGCACTTAGCAACTCTGCCTGCTGTTCACTGCCTGCCTCACTCAGAGCGTCGAGATCAGCTAAGCAGCCTTTGACACATGCCACCCCTACAACGTGTGTGTCAACCTCAAGATTCCCAGAAAGGCCTCTCCGGTTTCCACAGCACCATATAAACACCCTTTTCCCTAAGTTTCCCTCTTAGACTTTCCCATTAGCCAATAATGTGTCCCATTGCTGAAAACTTGGCCACAGGTGCTTTCAAACACCTGTCCTTGGGAAAGAGACATTCTGTAGCAGATGCATTTATGACAGTTTTCTGGGAATGAGATTTTAATGCAGCTCCAACCCCACTCTTCCTTGTTTAGTGATTGCCAGTCTGTTGGTATTCATGTCCAATACAGACTAATAGTTTTAAGCTTATGAGAGAATGGACCCCAGCAAATTCAAATCCCATGAAATTGCCATTTTTACCAACATTAGTCATGTGTTCTTAGAAAAGCACTTCTCCCAGGAAGGCTATGGACCTTGCTTAAATTCTAGAGTACTTTAAAAGTTGGTTCCAAGAAGTTGGTTTTATGTAGGACAGAATTTTTAGAGATCTTCACTCTGGTTTTCGCTGCTGTCAATCCATTTCCTAATTTTGTATCACACACACAGGCACACACACACACACACACAATCTTTACATATAGAAAGTTTTCTAGTTTCTCCTGTTACTCTTTCTATGACCCAATGGGATATTTAGAAGGTTTTCTTTGAAAGTAATTTATTGGATAGCTATAATTTTTAAGATTTATTTATTTGAAAGGCAGAGTGACAGAGGGAGAGACGGAGAGATCTTCCATCCACTGGTTCACTCCCCAAAAGGCCACAAGGGATGGCACCCACATGGGTGGGAGGGGCCCAAACACTAGGGCCATCTTCTGGTGATTTCCCGGGGGCATTAGCAGGGGGCTGGATCAGAAATGGGGCAAGCAGGATTCAAAGTGTCACTCCAATGCCAGCGCCGCGGCTCACTAGGCTAATCCTCCACCTTGCGGCGCCGGCACACCGGGTTCTAGTCCCGGTCGGGGTGCCGGATTCTGTCCCAGTGGCCCCTCTTCCAGGCCAGCTCTCTGCTGTGGCCAGGGAGTGCAGTGGAGGATGGCCCAAGTGCTTGGGCCCTGCACCCCATGGGAGACCAGGATAAGTACCTGGCTCCTGCCTTCGGATCAGCGCAGTGCACCGGCCGCAGCAGCCATTGGAGGGTGAACCAACGGCAAAGGAAGCCCTTTCTCTCTGTCTCTCTCTCTCACTGTCCACTCTGCCTGTCAAAATAATAATAATAATAATAATAATAATAATAATAAAGTGGCACTCCTATGTGATGCTTGTATCACTGGGGCAGCTAAATGCACCACAACACAGAAAACCCCTCTCTTTCCCAGCTCCATTCCAACTGCAAGCTAAGAATACTTTAATAAGAATACAGCGCAAGGGTAATCAATGAGCAATATCACTTGTAGACTCATGTGGCTAGAACTGTATTAAGCAATTGTGGCAGAAGTATTTGATGTTGACCTTACACGTTTGATCTTACATGTTATCCTATTTCACTAGAACCTTCAATGCATTAAGTTGCTTTAAATTCCATTTCTGACAGTTCCAACATGTGTCATACATCGGTTTAGTTGTCCTGATTACGATGTCTTTCAGAATGTTTTTTTCACTTGTCTTAATTCCTCCTCATTTTTTGTTGAAAGACATGTTGCATAAGGCAGCACATATTATTTTTTTTTTAGAATGGAAATCAGTATACTTTTCCTTCTATTTAGGACTGTAGTTTGAAATTCTGTGCTAATCTAGTCATAGGATAGGTTTGTTGTTGCTATGGCCACCCTTAGTATACCTGAGTTTCTCTTAAACTTGTGACTTTGCAAATAAAACCTGTCTTCCAGGTCCTCCACTTGTCTCTACTGTTATTTGTTTCCTGAGACCTTTCTTTATTTTTAAAGATTTATACATTTTATTTGAAAGGCAAATTTGATGGAGAAGAAAGGAAAGACAGAGAGAGAGAAAAAATCTTGTATCTGCTGGCTTACTACCAAGTCAGGGTTAGGCAAGGTCAAAACTAGGAACCAGAACCTTATATGTACCCTGTTTCTCATTCGGTACTAACACAGGTTGCCTAGCACTCTGCATTGTTCCAGCAGTTCCATGGGACATCATTTATGCCTGGAATATGTTTTTAAGTGAAAACTTCTGCTTTGGCGGTCAACTATTTTATCTCTTTATTAAGGTTTATTAGATCACTTTATGTCTTCATTACATGTTATCTTTTGCTCTTAACATTTAATTAAAATTAGTGTTGAATAAACCCCATTTTATTATTTTTTCCAGAATATACTTGCTTCAAAACTGCTACCCCAATATCTAGAAATGCACATTATAGTAGAAAAAGGTTTGGTAAGTCATTTTCCTTTTGTCCTCTTTCCCCCCTCCCTCCTTCTCTCTTTATCTCCTCTCTCTCTCTCTCTCTCTCTCTCTCTCTCTGCCTCTCCCCTTGCTGTGTAACTCTGACTTTCAAATAAATATAATAAATCTTAAAGAAAGAAAGGGGGGGCCTAACACATTTGCTTCCCACTGGTAAAACAGCCTAATGCAAATGATGTACATTCTTTGATAATGCCCTGTGTCTTCATTTGGCCAATTTTGTTAATTTTCCATATGGGTTTCTTACATACCACCTTGTTGTATTTCTTGTATATATTGATGTTTATTATAGCATCTAAATGATGCTATATATATTATATATAAATAATATATTGCCTATTATTTGTATATTACTTTCTACATTGACAAATACATATTAGTGATATCAAATGAATGTTTGAACACTGTTGTTCTATTAGTTACTGAGTGAGTTAGTTTAATGTATTAAATTATCATTGTGGTGTTTCTTAAATTTCCCTTTTAATTGTGTCTGTTTGGTTTTCCAAATTTTGATGATAGGTATTAGTTTCTACTGAGTAAGCATTATCATGTCTCTCTTATGTATTGACAAATTTATTGTCATGCACTAAACCCCTTTAGAACCAGCAACACCCTCTGAGATGCCATGGCATTTAGAATAGGAAACGATATTTGACAATCTGCTAATCTTGAGTATTCATATATTGTCATAAATTTGTATTTTTCCTACTTGTATGTGTTGTAGGAATACATTCCTTATGTGAAACTTGACACCTCCCTGGCTCAGTGTATTTTCCTACCTTAGAACGAGAGCATTCTGTCTAATTCGATCAACACAGACATAATGAATTTTACATTCCTCTTTATCGACATCTGTAAGCAGTACATTCATTTCATTAGCTATTGTAATCAAGAGTGAACAAACATAAACACTTCTAAGATTTGGAGACATTCCTTATCTTCAACTTCTAGAATTGACAATTTTGCAGCATATCTCAAATAAGACTCCAAAGACTGGAGATAATAATTAAACCCTGAAATGTGAGTCTGTATCTTTTCAAGACTTTCCAAAATTCAAACATCAACATTTCTTTCTTCTTATTTTTACATTACTTCACCTTATTCTTTTTCAAATGTTTTTGAATCATTCACTCTACATAATTTTCACTGAACTTTATGGTGACTTATTTCTTTCCTCCTATAGTTATATAGTTGTAATTCAACTGTTTTTTGCTTCTTTAATTTGCCTTTTTAAAGTTTCTAAAGCACTTGACTATTGAGAAAGAGTTTTTTTAAATACTATTTGTAGTTGAACTCTTTACTTAGTATATAGTTAATCATATGAATATAAAATAAATTAAAAATAGATCTTAGGAAGAAATAAAATGGGAATAGGAGAGGGAGGAGAAAGAAAGGAGGGAATGAGGGTGGGAGGGAGGTATGATGAGAAGAATCACTGATGTTCCTAAAGTTGTACTTTTGAAATTCGTGAAGTTTATATTCCTTAAATAAAAGGTTTATGGGGAAAAATTTATCAAGCATGCGAAGAGAAATACTTTGATTTTATCTGTGTCATAGAGAATTCATACCTCAATAAATTCCTCTATGATAAAAGGCAAAATGATTAGTTATTTTAGTACCCCTAGATGATTTCAATGTTTTTCCACTTGAAAATGTCCTTCAAAAATATTACAAGTCAGAATCCATTTAAAGTGCCCGAATATTCTTTTTTGTCATGTTTTATTATAAAAATTATCCTCTTTATATTAGTGTGATTTAAATTGTTTGACATGTCTTATGCTTTTCTCGCCTCATATCACATATCATATATTTGCCAACTAAAAATTGCTGTTATTTGTATTTAAAAAATCATATAAAACAAAAAATGTTTTTCAGTATGATTATATGGGATCTGAAATGATGGCTGTAACACAGAAAATTATTCAGATTATTGGACTTGTCAATACAGTAAGTTTTTACTTTTTCAAATTTCTAAAATTTTATTATAAAAGGTCACTGACTACAATTTGAGTTCTGTTACGACAAATTAATGACTTAAAGGCCTTTTATTTTTTAATACTGAAAATACTTTAATGCGCTGTTCTCTATTTTTATGTACTGTTTTAATGCAAGGAAGTATGCTGCTTGAGACTGTACCATAAATCTCATTTTTAGATGTTTACTCAGTTCAAATTGACTGTTATACTGTCCTCCTTGGAACTGTGGTCAGATAAAAACCAAATTTCTACCAACGGAGATGCAGATGATCTATTACAAAGATTTCTGGTGTGGAAACACAGCTATCTTGTCCTACGGCCCCATGATATAGCATACCTACTTATGTAAGCACACTGTTCTAGAGTGATAAGAAAATATGCATAATCATGCCATTACACTAATGTATTTGTTGTGTTCTTCAGCTTTCTGTAGGCACCTTTGAAGTGCTAAATTTAATGTACTTGGAAATATAATAAGACTGCAAACCACAGTAATCCACTTTACAGCAGTCCATTTTGGAGTATAATTAGTATGAGCAAAACCTACAGATTGGAATTTTATGTCACAAGCTTTATTAAAGGCTATAACATAGCCCTCAGCTTCTTAATAATGGAAAAATTAACACTATTAGGTTGTCATTATGCATCATAGATTAATGCAATTCATAGCTACATTTTGATCAAGAATGATTTGACTTTCTGGTAATACTTAATTTAAAAAATGCTTGTTTTAGGACAGCTGAGATTATCTTTTCCACAAATAAAAAAATTCTTTCTTTTTTTAACTTTTGGTAAGCAAAATAGTGAATGTGGAATGAGGGAAATGAAGTTAGATTTGAATTCATAAAATGTTATCAAATCTAGGAATTGAGGAGAAAAAAAGTGAAATAAACTTTTCAATGCTTCCAATATTTTAACCGTCTAAATATTTTTGGCATTGGAATGTCATATGTTTACAAAGCCATTTTCAAAATTTTGTGATAAGGAGATTTAATTTAATAGATAAACTTATGAATAACTGTGCAGTTGAAAGCAATACTGTACTGATATAGTTACAGGAAGCATCCTAAATATACGGGGGCAACGTTTCCTGGCGCAATATGCAATCAGAACTACAACGCAGGTGTTGCTATGGTACGTAACATTCATCCTTCTTTCCATTGCTATGCTTCAAAGCTTACATCATCTTTGTAAGTATTAAATTAAGTAGTTAAACAGCCTAATATTCTTCTGTATGTGTATGTTCGTTATTATTTCTTGCTGGGACAAAATTACTAGATGCCAAGAAAGTTCATTTACACAGAAGTGGACATCAGCCTACCTTGGTGCTTAATTACAGCAAGTTAAGGCCCTATTTCTTACTCCCTCTTCCTTGGCCAGATGGCAATTAAGTGAAGTGTCTTTTTCTAATACAGCCTGTATCAAGACACAGGCGGGAGGAAGAGTTCCCAGTTACCAGGAAAACTGTGTCATCTATACTAAGCCTGTCTGAAAGAGTTAGGTTTTCTGGCTGGAGTCAGAAGTTGCCTGGGTAACTGACCGTTTCCTGCTGTAGTGGAAAGTGCCAGACAGAGAACAGGGCTCCTGGTGACTTTGGTGGGCCAAGTCCCAGTGTTGTCAAAATGAGACAAGTGGAGGTAGTTTGTGCCGGCCATTATTTGATAGTATACATCTCCCGTGAACTGCCAGTCTATTATTTGTTTTTGTTTTCTTGAATAATGGCTTTGTCTTCAATCTTCTTAATTTCAGTATGCAGATGCAGTCACCTTGGAGGGATTTGCAGTTATTATAGCTCAGCTGATTGGCTTTCATATAGGATTAACATATGACGACATCAGCAAGTGTTCTTGTCCGAGAGCTACATGCATAATGAATCGTGCAGCAGTGTAAGACTTTTTTTCCTGGTTAGTTTTATGTATAACTTTATCAGTTGTTCCCAAGATACGTTGACATTAAATCCTTTAGAATCATCTCCATGTCGAAAATTGGATAGATTATACTAGAAGAAAAATGACATGAAAAATTCTATTTTTTTTTACGTATTCCTCTTATTTGAGATGAAGGGAGACAGAAAGACTGTGGAGCAAAATAAACTGTCATTTGTGATCATATCTCATTATGGTGGAGCAAGAATTTGGGAAGTCATGCTAACTACTAAGAAATTTCATTTTAGAGCATTATAGGGAGAAATAAATATATAGAAATATTGCATAATATACTAATATTTTTGTTGTAATATTTGTTGCTCATGACAAAAATACCTAATGTCACCCCTAATAATAATATAACAGTGCTGGCAGCTTTGACTAACATGTTGAGATAAAGAAATATAAGGCTACAAAAAGGAAAACATCCTTATATAATTAGAACAAAACAATAACAACATCAAGGAATTCTTTAATGGGCTGGTGTTGTGGCAGTGAGTTAAGCTGCCACCTGCAACATGGGTATCTCCTATGGATGTGAGTTCAGGTCCCAGGTGCTCCACTTCCAATTCAGCTCCTAATGTTCCTGGGAAAGTAGCAGAAGATGGTCCAAGTCCTTGGACCCCTGCACCCAGATGAAGTTCCAGGTTCCTGGCTTCAGCCCAGCCCAGCCTTAGCCATTAAGGCCAATTAGGAAATGAACCAACAGATGGAATATCTCTCTTTCTGTCTTTCTCGCCCTCTCTCTCTGTAACTCTGCCTTTCCAATAATCCTAACCCCAACCATAACCCTAACTCTTAACAATCTTTATAAAACATTCTTTAAGAGAGACGACTCTAGAAAAGTCAATTGTATATGTATATTAGCACTAATCAAATAAATGACTTCCTACAAAACTGTAAGTTTTACAGGTTTTAAAATTCATTATAATCCAAATCCATATTTTATAATAAGGAACTTGATGAACTCCAAGAGGTGACAAAGTGGAGATGGTAAATATAGACTTTTTTTTGAGTAGGAACCAGAATTTGTGATCAAAGGGGAAGTTTTAAATGGGAAACATTTCATATGAAGGGCCTTGAAAAAGTTCATGGGAGATGTATACTTTCAAAGTCCTATGCAGATTTCATGTTTTATGCACCAAGTAATCCTATTTTCCATGAACTTTTTGAACAGCTCATATTATCTGTAGACTGTTAGAAATAAGAGAAAAGGGGTTGATGGCATCGCATGTAAGTCTTAGGAAAGACGCAGTGAGTAAATTGTGGAGGCAAGTATGAAAGTGGAAGATGTGGCTGTATTGATTGATTGTGATAGGGGTTTAGGAAAGTAGAGAGATGGGTACTTTGATTAATAGAGGTGTGAAGATGAGGACAGTTCCCTGAGAGGAAGGAATGTAAGCTCTTTTGTAGAAGGTGTAAAGCAGTTGTCTTGGCGATTGGACCTTAGAAATCAGTTAGGAAGTAAACAGAATTTGCAATTGCAAATTTACTGTGAGCTCCAACTCCATCCACTAGGTTTAGCTTCTCAGTCGCACATGCAAAGGAAAGAGAGAATTGAGCTTTTTGAGTTAAGTTTCCTGGGATTCAGAAAGAAGGCCAGGCCATACATAGGAGAGCCTGAATTCTCCCAAAATAATGGGACTTGAATGTTTCTTCCCCAGAACTTGGAACTCTGGATAAGAAATCAAAGTATTTTGAGACAACTGCCCTAGCTCACTTTATTACAGTTTGCTAGTCTTCCTTACAAGAAGCCAACAGTTTACGTGTCCATTCAACTGTCATGTATCTATTAAAATTACATATAGACAGACATATAGATAGCTAGATAGATCATAATGATCAGACTGTAGGAGCTGGCATGCTCTGGACATCTTGTGTGGGCACTAGGAAGTTGTTCACAACAATATTGTTTAATGATCAATTTCTCAGACTGTATCACCATCATTAAGTGATGCTTGCCTGTAATATCGTTTTCCATCCATTCACATTAAATTTCTAAGAAATACAATTTTGTGGAGCATGTTAATGTAAGCAGTACTAACACTAAAATTAAATTATGATTTTCTAAGACGCAAATTTTTATTTGAGCCACACTGTTATTCAAACGGTTTTGTGTGGAATTTTGTATATATGTGGATTTTATTAGGAAGGGTTACTCACCTGAGAAATGTTATTTCACTTTAGGAGTTCCAGTGGTGTGAAGAATTTTAGCAACTGTAGCTTGCATGAGTATAAAAATGTTGTTTCTAACTTTGAAGTGAAATGTCTTCAGAACCTTTCGAAGTTGCAGCCATTCTATCAGAACCAAGCTGTGTGTGGTAATGGGGTTTTGGAACCTAGTGAGGAGTGTGACTGTGGTGATGAAGAGGTAAGCAGCAAACATGTAAATCTGAACCAAGCGTTTGCATCTCTAGTGAAACACGTTTGTCTTGTAGCTATGGAATTATATACCCACCGAGTCTTCAGTGTTTCACTCAAATAAGAGAACTGGGGTAAACTCACATATGTGAATCACATTCCCATGTTTCTTGAGCTGAGAAGGAGGGATGTCAAGAAACACTGGTTTTTGTAGCTGCTCACAATCGAGCCAGCAGATACAGTGCTATGGTTGAGGCCAAAACAAAGTCCTATTGATTGATTATTCAGTTCGTAACTCATATGGCCTCATTCTGTGTTTTAGACAAACGTGCTAAGTTTGGTCCAGATATTTCTGTCTCTTATGGTTGCAGGAATTTTTAAACATTCTAGTGGGTTTTCTTAATCGTTCTCAAACAATCCTGTAATTATCAGTTCATAGATGATCTATTTTTACTACTTGCTTGTTTCTGAATGTAGATAGGTATTTTACCATAGTTCCATCAATCAAATGTTCAACAAAAACTGACAACAGGTGACACCACACATTCAGTCTATTGTAATTCTCATTGTTTAACAATACCTAACAACCGTCTTGTATTTTCAAAATTGTCCTGCATAATTCATCCCCCAGCAGTTACGTGAATTCCTTCCTCCTGCAAAAGGATCACCACATGTTTGCATTCCTTTCCAGCACCAGAAATTCTCCGAATCCTGTATTCCACAAAGGAAAATCTTTATGGATGAGTTACTCTTACAATCTCACACACACACACACACACACACACACAGAGAGAGAGAGAATGAGAGAATGGTTTCCAGTTATTACAGATTTTCCAATGCCATCTCAGCTTTCCAATAAGCAGTTCTGTGTTCATGTGCGGTACTGTGTTCATTGCGGTAGGCACCGTCTACCTGCCGATCAATACTAGCTGTTTTTACTGAAGGACTGAAGGAAACAGCCCACTCTGGAGTTAGATCTGCATACTCCAAACACAGGCTGTGGGCTGACTGGTGTTGATACCTGGACTGTCGATGGCCACCAGCATCTCTCCATAGCCTGTTCCTGCAAGGTGCTTTGGTTTCACATACAGAGACCTTCCGCTGGGATGCTGCCTGTGGCCCTGAGTGCTTAGCCACCAACGCGGTGTGCTGCATGTGTTAGGACCTAAGGGCCAGCCTTCAGATGATCACACGGTCTGCCGGTGCACAGGTGTCCCAGCCTTTTTGGCTCTGGTGAGCTAATCTGGAAGGGTGTTCTAGAGTTCTGCGACCCGCGCCCGTAGGCCAGATGCAGCCCCCACTACTTTTGGGAATGGAATCTCACTGGGATGCAGACAGGGTGGCTACTGGTTTGTCTGGAGGCTATGGCTGCTTTCGTGCCGCAGCACCAGATTTATGCAGTGACACACAGACCGTACGGTAAGCCAGCTTGAATGTGCTGACTGTTTGGTCCTTTACAACACACACTGCTGATTCCATAGCATCCGCCGGAGGCTCCTGCGGGATTTAGGTTAGTTTGCAAGAGCATAAGAAATAAGAGTATCAACTGTTAAATCAACAAGAGTCACTGTGCAGTTACTCCCCATGTAGGATCTCTGTCCTTAATGTGCTGTCCTATGAGAATTAATGGTAAAAATAGTCTTCAAAAAGTACTTTACACTTTGTGTTTCTGTGTGGGTGCAAACTGTTGAAATCTTTACTTAGTATGTACTAAGTTGATTTTCTGTATATAAAGATAATTGAAAATGAATCTTGATGAAGAATGGGATGGGAGAGGGAGCGGGAGATGGGAGGGTTGCAGGTGGGAGGGTGGTTATCAGGGGAAAAGCTGCTATAATCCAAAAGCTGTACTTTTGAAATTTATATTTATTAAATAAAAGTTTTCTAAAAAAAAAAAAAGAAGTTGAGCTTTCCAAAAAAGAACTCTTAGTTGGTTGAAATGTACAAATCCTTTTCCTTATGCAACTCTAGGAATGTCAACTTAAAAAATGCTGCAATTATAATACTTGCAAACTGAAAGACTCAGTAAAATGTGGTTCTGGACCATGCTGCACATCAAAGTGTGAGGTAAGTTCCTGACATCTGTAAGAAAGAACAGAAAACTGTAGTGGCTGAGTCATTGTGGAATTGATGAAAAGAATACAACAGCAACGAAGTGTAACAAAACACAAAATGCATAAACACAAGTATGTAAGGAAAACACTATGCAATAAAAAAGGCATATCAGATGGGTACAGACTATTGTATAATATCAAAACCACAAAGTTTACCATCTACTAATTTATCAAACAGGACAAACATATATATATATATATATATAAAACTATATGTATAGTTTTATGTAAATATTTATAAATAAATATATATAAACTATATAAAACATCAACTCAAAGAAATCATAAAGTCAAATTAATAATAATAGATTAAGAAAAACTTAACATGAATAGCAGACAAACTGTGTAGTATACAGAACATATGAAGAATTTTCATACTTTGATAAGTAAACGGTTAGGCCCCTATTGTGGCACAATGGGTTAAGCTACTGTTTGCAATGCCAGTATCCTGTATTGGAGTACTGCTTAGAGACCCAGCTGCTCCACTTCCAATCCAGATCTCCGTTCATGCACCTGGGAAAGCAGAGTAGATGACCAGTACTTGGGCCCCTGCTACTTCTGTGGGAGGTCTGTTTGGAGTTCCTGACTCGTGGTTTAAACCAGGCCCAGATCTGGCCATTGTAGCTATTTCACGGAGTGAAACAGAGATGGAAGATGATCTCTCTCTCTCTCTCTCATCTCTTTCTCTGACGCTCAGGTAATTTCTTTATTTGAAAAGATAAAAAACATTCTCATATGTTATAACCACAAAATACATAACTATAATTTTTGCATTATATTAGTCTTTTATCTGTTAGATTGAGTAAAATAAGGAGCAAATTTTATAGTCGACATCATTTATTCAATTTCCATCTCTACTTTCTTTTGCAGATATCTGTTTAGTATCATATTCCTTGTACCTGAAGGTCTTATTTTACTGTTTCATTTGGTGTAATTTATGTTTGGTGAAAATGAATTCTCTCAGTGATTATTTATCTAGGAAAATAGTTATCATAGTTAATTTTTGGAATATATTTACAGTTTATGAAACTAAGCTGACTGATTCCTTGAGTCATTTTTAAAGTGCCATTTCACTCATTTATCATTCATGTTTGCTTTTATTATTAAATATAAATTCAATAAAACTAAGTTATAGTGTATGTTTGAGGCAGAGGGAAAGGAAGAGAAGAGCCTCGGTATATGTAGCAGGTTGGCATTTGGGCATGGTGAAGTTCACTATGGAAGGCAGTGGCTACCTAAATTAGTAAGTTGGCCCCACAAAAAAAATTTCGCCAACTATGCTCAGACTGGTAGTCAAGGAGGTCTTTATACCGTCAGAAAATAACAAGTATGGTGATAGAGTCGATGACAGTAGTCATGTACACTGTTTCCCAAGTCTTGTTCTAAGTACACATTCTATTAAGCCAAATTAACACAACTTACAATTCTATGAGACAATGCCAAGGTTACAAGTGTAACATTATCTGACCCACACACTTGAGCTAAGAGTCACAGTCAGGGACTGAAACCGGGCAGGGTGGCTTCTGGATCGCTTCATGTTAGTCAGCTTCCCATTACTGCATCTAAGATATGTGAGAGGAACTACTTAGGAGGAGGAAGGCTTATTCCCGCTTCCATACGTGGAGCTTCCCAGTTGCATATCTGGTGGCCTCAGTCAGTTAATGAAGGTGGAGGATGGCGGAACAACTACAGAGGTGGGACACAGGGTGATCCAGGAAGGAAATACAGAGACTGGGCCCAACCCAGCTTAAATAATCAAGCCTTTCAAGAGCACTATATCCCAAGAGCACAGCCCGGTGACCTAAAGACCCCTCACTGGGCGCAGCTCTCCCAGACCCTACAGCTGGGTCCAGCCTCCCCTCTGGCAGCACTTGGGGACTTAGATGTCTACCTGAGTTGAGGAGCGCAGTCCTATGCAAACCACAGCGTTCTCCAAGAGCAAAAAGGTAAAAGCAGTGTGCCTGCAGCTTCAGGAAGCGGGTGTTTTTGCACTAACCTGCTTGTTCTACTTGTAGATGCTGCTTCAATCAGATGGCCTCGCAGTGGGCTACCCAGAGCATGTGGGCAGCTGCAAGCCTTCTGTCAGAGGCGTTGCTTTCTCCCTCTGACGCGGTCACTTTTCCTGGGGCTCCACAATGAATCCTGCACCTGGTGTTTGCTTTTGGAAAACCCGTTGTCTTAGGAACCTTGCTATCCCTCAACTACCTTTAACCAGGCATATTTTATTTAATAAACCTCTTCTGTAACTGAGAACAGTAACGCACAGAGTTTGACTGTCTTTTCCTTTCTCTAGTTTTCAGTAGCAGGCACTCCGTGTAGAAAGAGCACCGATCAAGAGTGTGATTTTACAGAGTATTGCAATGGAACATCTAGTGATTGTGTTCCGGACACATATGCACTGAATGGCCAATTCTGCAGGCTGGGAACCGCATACTGCTATGGTGGAAAATGCCAAACTATTGATAACCAGTGTGCCAAGATATTTGGAAAAGGTATGACTCTTTCTTTTTCATGTTTTATTACCACAAATTTGAATCACTCTATAGATTATATAACCATGCCACACAGCTCTAGGCGTTGTGCAATAAACTTGCCAGAGATTAAACTTGAATTAAAGAAAGCCTAATTTCGCAGGTGTGTTTGAGATTTTTCTAAGAAGAAATGATACTGTACGTTGTGTTTCTCCTGATTTGATGTTTGATTTGAGTAGTTAGCTACCGGAGCAGAACTCCATGTTTAAAGCTCATTGTTAGACACCTGCATGGCAAATCATATTCTGAAATTCCACTTTGCACACTCATGATCTGCAGTCTGTTCCCATACTCTCCTTCAGAATTTGTCCAAAGGGGCATCCTTTCCAGGACAGAACACACCCGGCTATTCATTGAAGTGTGTGTTTTACAAAATGTCTAGCTGCTTTTGCTCAACCAAACCCGTGTTGGCTATTTCATCTTGCATCTCACGTGAAATAGGAGAAAGTACGACACCAGGTAGCCTGTTTGGATTCTGGAGGCAGGGGAGTCCACATAGGGAAACAAATACTCAATTTCGTTTATGGAAAAGCAAGAAATGGCTCTGTAGTGGTTCCAGCCTGCAGGGCCAGCAGCCTTGTCCTGCAGACTCAATAACATGAGACGTGTTGGATGATGAGAAAATGTCACATGGATTCCGTGGCCAGGCCGCTTTGGAGAAGGGCGCTGTCCCGGTGTTCCAGAGCAAGGCCGCCGCCCAACCGGGAGAAGCATGGGGATTTAGCAGAGTGGTCCTGGGAGTGTGACTGGGCCTTGGAGAGGTGAAGAAGCTGACTGCAGGAAACCGTGACCATGAGTTCAGAACTGCACATCCTAACCGGCTGTGTCAGAGCCGCTGTGAGAGGTGGTAGGGCCAGAGAGTTGGAAGTAATTTATCCTAGTTCAGGCACACACAGAAAGAGAACACAGAAGAAAAGCCTGCAAGCAGGAAATCCAGACAGTCGTGCTCTTCAGCCTTCTCACAGCTTGGTTCTCCCTCACCTCACACCTGTGGATACCTGCATTTCATTACGACCTCCGGACACGCGGGAATGCACCCAGGCTGCTCTGACAGATGCATTGGCTCAGTAACTATTCAGGCTACAGGGAACAGTAGCCCCACAACAGCCTAACCTGGGACTAGCACTGAAGGACACAGACCACCACCTGGTCATCCTTTTTTGTGAAAGGAGATATTGAAAGGTACCCATGGTTGGTGACAAAGGGCCCACTGGCTTGGTGGGGAGCCTGGAAAGGTGTGGAAAGATTAGAACATTGGGAACATAAGTTCTGGAAAGAAATTTATGAATAGACACAAGGAAGTAGTCAAGAAATGCGAAAATTTCATGAATGAATCCTTCTGGTTAATACCCGTCAAAGGGTGTCCACCATAAAAAGGCTCAAACCAGCAAGAGCTGTGAAGACTTGCCCAGGTTATCTGCCAGCATCTCTCATTATCCATCCCCAAGCTCGCAGGACAGGCACGTTTCTGGACCTCCCCTATTCTTTTCCTTCTTGCTATTGAAACAGCTGATTCTCTTTAGAGTTTAGCTTATCTATTTCTTTGGATACTTACACCACCTGGCCAAACACAGCCAAGGGTAACCGGACACATTCTGTTGCCTTATCCCTTTGCCTGAGGCAGCGTGGTTACTAAGGCCATTATCCTAAAATGCAGGAAGAGATAGTTCCTCCGAATGTTTCAACGTCACAGAGCACAGTGTCCTCACCTTTCAAGCTTTGATGATGGTTTTCTCATTAATTACTGCAAGCTTCTAACACCAATGCCACATATTTTAGATGCGTTTTAGGGTAGCCCTCAATTTCTAAGTGTGAGTTCCTGTGTTGAATGACATAGAAAGTCTCTGAGATCTACACATCCTGTGTGTTTTTTCAATATTCCAAGTCGCGGCCAGCGCCGCGGCTCACTAGGCTAATCCTCTGCCTTGCGGCGCCGGCACACCAGGTTCTAGTCCCGGTTGGGGCGCCGGATTCTGTCCCAGTGGCCCCTCTTCCAGGCCAGCTCTCTGCCGTGGCCAGGGAGTACAGTGGAGGATGGCCCAAGTGCTTGGGCCCTGCACCCCATGGGAGACCAGGAGAAGCACCTGGCTCCTGGCTTCGGATCAGCGCGGTGCCCCGGCCGTGGCGGCCATTGGAGGGTGAACCAACAGCAAAGGAAGACCTTTCTCTCTGTCTCTCTCTCTCACTGTCCACTCTGCCTGTCAAAAAAAAAAAAAAAAATTCCAAGTCGCCTTCCCTGTTATAGCCAGCCTGAGAGATGTACATCCACTTGAAATGTCGCTGATCCCTTGTCAGAGAAAAAAGATGGTATGGCAATTCATGAACTCATTCCAAAGGTTTCTGAATGAAAGTGACTTGGTTTGGATTTCTCATTTGAGTAAGAAGAGTTAAGTTACATGGTCCAATCTAATATCCATCGTCCTGGAAGTGCTTGCTCCCCCAGGAGGAGTAACCTGCTGTGTGAGATGCAGTCCTTCTCTGTGTTGTGTTGGGTGAGAGCTCTGCTTCTTTCCACTCGCATTGGCAGGGTGCAATGGATACCACAGCGTGGTCAAGTGTAACTTTTTTATTTTTTGGAAATAAGTTTCACTAGCCTGTTTAAACAAACATTTAATTAAGAATGATCATTGCACTGACATGTTTGCATTTTTAGGTGCTCAAGGTGCTCCTTTGGCCTGCTTTGAAGAAGTTAATTCTCTGCATAATACGTCTGGAAACTGTGGCTTTAACAATTCACAGCCGTTGCCTTGCAAGCACAAGTATGTATATAGAAAACGATCCTTTTCTGAATCATACAAATTACGTATTTCTTGTGAAGAGACACAAAATCACAATAAGCAGTAAATTGTAGAAAAGGACAATATTTTCAAATATCACAAATGCATTTTTCTTCATTCAGTCTTTGATTTCCTGATTTTTTTATTTTCTGATATCATCCTAAGGATGAAAATGGAGAAAAAAAAGAATGCTTTTGATTATTACTAGAGGAAGGAAGTGGGCACAAATTGCTAAAAAATAGGAACTATGCTATATTAATAATTAAAATGGAGTCATGTATTAAACAAATGTAAAAAATCCTAAAGCAGTTATTTTAAGTGTAAGCGATGTTGAGAGAAGGAAGTTTTCATTTTTATTTCCTTTGTTTCCAAAACACTGGTGTGTAAAGCATGGGAATAGATCTCAGTAGCGACACTGGGACTGTGGGAACACGGCTTTACTGTAAGCCACATAACAAAGGGATTCATAAAACCCAGTAAAGGAAGCTCCTGTCCTCTGACAAAAGCTTCCTGAATTTTATCTGGGTGTTGAAAATAAAAGAATCATGACAGTGAGGTGACCAAACTAGAGTCGAGAAGAAAGAGCAAGAGAAGAGACCAGGTAAACACCCAGATGAAGCCAAGTAATATAGGGAGAAGCGGGACTCTTAGTCTCCAAAGCGCAGGCAAGAAAAACTGTCAAACCCTTAGATAAGCGCCACACTCAGCCTGGTTTCAAACAGCAGGGTTCCTTTGTGGCAATGTAAAAATGGATGGGGAAAGTGTCTGGCTAGGTGAGGTTAGAAAGAGCCACCTTGGCTGGCACTGTGGCACAGCTGGTTAAAGACTTGGCCTGCAGCACCAGGATCCCATGTGGGCGGTGGTTCAAGTCCTGGCTGCTCCACTCTCTATTATGGCCTGGGAAAGCAGTAGAAGATGGCCCACGTACTTGGGCCCCTGCACCCATGTGGGAGACCCGGAATAAGCTCCTGGCTCCTGGCTTCAGATCAGCTCAGCTCTGGCCGTTGCAGTCTTTTGGGGAGTGGACCAACAGATGGAAGACTTCTCTCTCTTTGTGGCTCTACCTCTTTCTGTAACTTTGTCTTTCAAATAAATAAATCTTTCAAAGAACAAAAACAGAAGAGCCCCCTCCACACAGTAATTTGTCATGGATCACGCATGGCATTCAGAACTTGCAAGATTTCCCACAGGTCCCAACATAAGAGAACTGTGATACGGAACGGGTGGATGCGGAACCACAGAGCGACTGCTGACGGCAGGGATCACATAGAATCTCCGAGAGACAAGGAGTAAACAGCCACACACTGGTGGGGACCAGGGCAGGGCACCAGCCACCAGGCCCACTGTTAGACCGCAGATCACAGCAAGGACATAACGTGGCACAGCTGCCGCACAGTCTCTCCCTGATCTAAGAATACCCATGGGAGACAAGAAAAGAAAGATGGAAGACAGTGTGAAAGTTAACAATACCACGTTTCCTTTCTGCATTTTATCTGATCTGGTGATGGTACTAAAACTCTTTTTTTTTTTTTTTTTAAGATTTCTTTATTTATTTGAAAGGCAGAGTTACCTAGAGAGAGAGAGAGAAAGAGAGAGAGAGAGGTCTTCGATCCTCTGGTTCACTCCCCAATTAGCTGCAATGGCCAGAGCTGCGCTGATCCAAAACCAAGAGCCAGGAGCTTCCTCTGGTTGTTCCACGTGGGTGCAGGGGCCCAAGGACTGGGGCCATCTTCTACTGCTTTCCCAGGCCATAGCAGAGAGCTGGATCAGAAGTGGAGCAGCTGGGACTCGAACTGGCGCCCATATGGGAAGCTGCACTGCAGGTGGCAGCTTTACCCACTACCAAAACTCTTGAAATCGATCACTAGCATATTTCATGTGCTCTGGGGGGCTGGGATCCCTTTTCAGAAATGTAAAATCATTTTGGACAAGTCAACCACAAATGCAAGTGTTGAGAAAATAGTGTTTGGAGGAAGAGTGTCTACTCCATAGCCAGGCTGGAAATAAACTTCTATGTGCAGCTGGTTTGAATTGTATGTCACAGAGAGCAGAGCTAAAATCAGAGAGAGGACCTAGAAAAGCTATGTTTGGGCCAGCGCCATGACTCACTTGGTTAATCCTCCGCCTGTGGCGCCGGCATCCCATATGGGTACCAGGTTCTAGTCCCAGTTGCTCCTCTTCCAGTCCAGCTCTCTGCTATAGCCTGGGAAAGCAGTAGAAGGTGGTCCAAGTCTTTGTGCCCCTGCACCCGTGTGGGAGACCTTGAAGAAGCGTCTGGCTCCTGGCTTTGGATTAGTGCAGCACCGGCCGTGGCAGCCATATGAGGGGTGAACCAATGGAAGGAAGACCTTTCTCTCTGTCTCTCTCTCTCTCTCTCACTGTCTGTAACTCTGTAACTCTACCTGTCAAATAAATAAATAAAATAAAAGCTATGTTTGAGGGAAGAAAAGTTTGGCAATTGATTTAGATTTTTGACATCCAGCCTCATTTTAATTTTTACTAATCCTAGTAACATAAAAAGATCCCAATGGTCATTTAGGTCAAAAGAATATCCTAAAAAGGAGACTTTTATTAAAATAATAGCTTACTTATTAGATACATATCAATAGGTAAAAATGATTGTTTTCATTAAGGGTGATATTTTTTAGACAGAGTTAAATTATTCCAAAATCAGAAAGTGACACAGAGAGGCTGACATTGTCATGTAGTGGATTAAGCTGCCGCTGTGGTGTTGGTATCCCAGGCATATGAGTGCTGGTTCAAGTCCCGGCTGCTCGGCTTCCGATCCAGCTCACTGCTGGCTAATGCACCTGAGAAAGCAGCACATGATGGCCTGAGTGCTTGGGTTTCGGCCACCCATTGGGAGACTTGGACTCTTAGCTTTGTCCTGAAACAGCCCTGGCCATGGCCACTCGGGGAATTAACCAATGGATGGAGGATTCTCTCTCTCTCTCTCCCTCTCCCTCTCTCTCTCTCCCCCCTACATCACTCTGCTCTTCAAGTAAATAAAAGAAAAGAAAAGTGGAGAGTATTTCCCAGGAGATGGCCTACAGATACTGGAAGCCTCTTAGAGAAGCCAGTATTCTATCCCAGGATATATTATAATTTTTTTTGACAGGCAGAGTGGACAGTGAGAGAGAGAGACAGAGAGAAAGGTCTTCCTTTGCCGTTGGTTCACCCTCCAATGGCCACCGCGGCCGGCGCGCTGCTCTGATCCGAAGCCAGGAGCCAGGTGCTTCTCCTGGTCTCCCATGGGGTGCAGGGCCCAAGCACTTGGGCCATCCTCTACTGCACTCCCTGGCCACAGCAGAGAGCTGGACTAGAAGAGGGGCAACCAGGACAGAATCCTGCGCCCCGACCGGGACTAGAACCCGATGTGCCGGCACCGCAAGGCGGAGGATTAGCCTAGTGAGCCGCGGCGCCGGCCCCCCATGATATATTATAAATAGCAAAGCAAAGTATCTGTGGGATTACCCTTGGTTTGCTTTTGGCAGAGTTCCTAAATTCTTGAGAGACAAGCTTAGATATTCTGAAAATATCACTATGGTGGAAGAAGTTTAGACTAGAAATGAAAAGCCTGCGTGGTTTAGAAAGGGACTGCCTAGAGACCCGACAGGGAGCACAGGCTTAATCAGAAACGTACACATGACCAAGAGGCAGAAAGAGTAAATACCGTTAGCCAATCCCCATAAACATTGACGGTGCAAACGAGGAATTTTCCTATAAAGTAGGTTAAAATATGATGAGCTCCCTAAGAAAACTGGAGGCTGCAGAACAAAGCTGAACTGTGATAGGAAATTCAGTATTGTCAAAAAAAAAAAAAAAAAACTAAGCTATCCTCCCACCTTGCAGGCCCTGGGCACCACCGGGTTTCTAGTCCCCGGTCGGGGCCCCGGGATTTCTGTTCCCTGTTTGCCCCTCTTCCCAGGCCCAGCTCTTCTACTGTGGCCCCGGGAGTGCAGTGGAGGATGGCCCAGGTGCTTGGGCCCTGCACCCCATGGGAGACCAGGAGAAGTACCTGGCTCCTGCCATCGGATCAGCGTGGTGCGCCGGCGCAGCGCACTGGCCGCGGCGGCCATTGAAGGGTGAACCAACAGCAAAGGAAGACCTTTCTCTCTGTCTCTCTCTCACTGTCCACTCTGCCTGTCCAAAAGAAAAAAAAAATTCAGTACAACTTTGCTGCACGCATCCAGCTCTGCCGCATAGGTCCACAAAGCTGGGGTGCACCACAAGCTGATGCTCTGGTTTTCACATTTTTGATGGCTTTGTACCATCAGCAAAGCAATATCTGTGTTACTAACCTTAGGTATCTTTTTAAGACAAAATGTAAGGAGTTTTCTGCTTCCCACTTGCAGGGATGTTCTATGTGGAAAATTAGTTTGTGCTGTTCCAAGTAAAAATGCAGAGGAAGGCGATGCTCCAGCCGCAACTTTTTCACATGGTCGTGACCATGTGTGTGTATCCATGACCACTGCGTCATCCGTGAGACCAGACGGGAGAGATTATGCGTATGTGGCTGATGGCACAGCATGTGGTCCGCAGATGGTAACAAAATGTGATCACTGATATTTAGTGGTACTGAATCTGTGAATTATTTGATCCTGTATTTCATGATGACTATCATGGCTATGCTGAATGACTTTGAACCTGGTGCTGGCATTTATTTCCCTTATAATTAATGTTGAAAATATTAAGTTTCAGTTATTCATTAGCATTAGTTTTTGGATTAACTGGTTATGAGTATTCACGTGGAAAAAGGACATATGTGTTTTTTAAAAAATATTTATTTATTTATTTGAAAGTCAGAGCTACACAGAGAGAGGAGAGGCAGAGAGAGAGAGAGAGAGAGGGCTTCCATCCGCTGCTTCACTCCCCAATTGGCCACACTGTCTGGAGCTGTGCTGATCCAAAGCCAGGAACCAGAGCTTCTTCTGGGTCTCCTGGTGCAGGGGCCCAAGCACTTGGACCATCTTCTACTGCTTTCCCAGGGCATAGCAGAGATCTGGATCAGAAGTGGAGCAGCCGGGTCTTGAACCGGCGCCCATATGGGATGCTGGCACTGCAGGCTTTACCACAGCGCTGGCCCCACATATGTGTTTTAAGCATGGAATTTCATTAACTGTAAGGTGATTTATTTATTTGTTTGTTTATTTATTTTTAAAGTCCCAATCGCTTTACATCATAAAGTTCCCGTGGTGAGTTTTCAATTTTCTTTGCATCACAAAAAACTATAGTTGACATTTTTTATGTCCTAAATTATCTGCTTAATGTATGTTATTCAGATACACATGTGAGAAGGTTGAGAGAACAAAAATCTACAGGGAAAGCTTGGTTAAGTGCAAGCTTAAGTTTGATTTTTAGTTTAGGAGGAACTTACATACTGTTAACTCAGAGTGGCTATACCAATTTACATTCCCACCAACAGGGTAAAAGGTTCTATTTTCTCTACATCCAATGCAACACTCACTATCATTACTCTTTTTATAGCTGTTCTAACAGGTGAACGATGATGTCTTTTTGTGGTTTTCATTTGCATTTTCTGATAATTAGTGGTTTTGTAGACTTTTCATATGTCTCTCACTCTGTCCTTTGCTCTTTCTCTGTAACTCTGCTTTTCAAATAAATAAAAAATAAATCTAAAAATAGATACCGCAGCTTCTTCTGATGGAGATTCTAACCCAATCTCGGTTGCAAACGTTGATACCAAAACCGCATGTAATTATGACATAAGCCAAGCCAGGAAAACAGCCTCAAACATTTATTGACTTTTTAAAATCAGAATTTCAAGATATTTATAACTGAATCAGGAAAATATTAATAAATTCTTCATCCTGAGCTTCTCTTATGTATATATAAAATCATTATGGTTTTTTAATTTTATAAAATCTGTGATTAATTATGAAATGTCTTGTTTATTTTAGTATTGTGTAAACCAAACCTGCAAGAAAGTTCAGTTAACAGAAAATACCTGTAATGCCACAACAAAATGCAAAGGGAATGGGGTAAGAAACTTTTTAAAAAGATTTATTTATTTACTTGAAAGTCAGAATTACAGAGAGAGAGAAGCAAAGGCAGAGAGAGAGAGAGAGAGAGAGAGAGGTCTTCCATCCACTGGTTCACTCTCCAGATGGCCGCATGGCCGGAGCTGCGCCGATCCGATGCCAGAAGCCAGGAGCTTCTTCCAGGTCTCCCACCTGGGTGCAGGAGCCTAAGGACTTGGGCCATCTTCTACTGCTTTCCCAGGCCACAGCAGAGAGCTGGATCAGAAGTGGAGCAGCTGGGACTAGAACCAGCGCCCATATAAGATGCTGGCACTGCAGGCGTCGGCTTTACCTGCTACGCCACAGCACTGGCCCCAGAAACTTTTCTTTTTGTGGTTCTAAGTTTCATATTATTGTTATGACTAATTCAAAATAAGCATGAGTCCTATTGGAGATTACTGAATGCCTGTTACTTTTCAAATCATGTCACTGATGCCTAGCTCACTTATAAAAAGAAAATCAGTGAAGCTAATTCTAACACCACTAAGTTAATTGAGCGAGATGTACATCTCGTTTATTGTTAGGTTCTCCCAGTTTCTCAGTTCAAGTAATATGTTTACATTAAAAGCATTTATTCTTTTAAACACAAGCAACCACATGTTTGCCTTCTATCATGAACATATTTGTCTCTCTAATATATTTAATAAATAAACTTATGTCTATATATTGCAGAGTATACATGAATTTTTGTTGTTGCTTGTTTGGAAGGCAGAGACAGACGGTGACAGGCAGACAGAGAGAATCTCCCATCCACTGGTTTACTGTCCAAATGCCCCACAACAGGCAGGAATGGACCAGCCTGAAGCTGGGAACAGGGCACCACTGTGGGTCTTCCATGTGGGTGGAAGGGAACCAAACTACTAGGCATCATCTGCCTCACAAGGATGCGTGCTAGCAGGAAGCTGGGATCTAGAGCAAAACTGGAACTTGAACCTTTGCAGTCTGATACAGGCAATGAGCTTCCCAACGGGCACCCTAATCCCTGGGCCAAACACCTGTCCCAAAGAATACACCAAAATAAATGAGTTAATATTTGTGGAAAAAATAAACTCACCTCTGTGAATGAGAAGAGCATAACTTTATAGAATCATGTTTTTAAAAACCTGAGTGAAGAGAAAAAATTACTTATTAAGAAGAGCCAATTAAGTGGCTAGAAATGTACTTTTTTGTAGGTACTGATTTTGCCATTTGACTATTTCATATGTAAAATTTCCATTTCTCTTTCCAATCTGTTTCCTCATGTATATATTCATAGCAAGCTTAAGAAAAATAGCTGTTATGTAGACGTCAGAAATTCCCATCAGATGTAAAGACTTTCTGATTCAAAGTAATTTTATATATTTCTGTTTCAGATTTGTAATAATTTTGGAAATTGTCAGTGCTTTCCTGGCTACAGGCCTCCAGACTGTGAGTTCCAGATTGGTTCACCAGGGGGCAGCATTGATGATGGCCGTGCTGAGAGATCTGGTGAGAAGAAACTAAACTTTTAAAGTGAAATCGAATGTGGTTTTACAAGGAACTAATTAAGGAAATATACATCTGAGCCAGTTCTATGATCTGCTGAGTAATCCCTAAGTTGTTTTGACTGATGCTTTTATTGCCTCCAAATAGTTGTAATCAACCCTAATCAGCTGAGTTAAATGAGTTAAAATAAGAATAATTTTCCTTCGTTTCACTAGAAGTCATTACATACATTGAAGAAAATAATGTAGAGAAGAATAAAAGCCACAGAAGTAGTTTGCATTCTATATTAGTAACGACTTCGTAGATTACTTAGAAAGCAACTGTAGGATACAGTGTTCACTCTGAATAAACTTTGAAAAACCATGCGGTAAAATATAAATGTATACATTCATCTAAAGCTGCCAGTAAATCAATCACAGTTTAAGTGACAGAGTACCTATTTAGACTTTCCTTTGCTCCAGCGAATGAACAAAACATCATCCGCTACTGAACCATTCATTCACTGCCTCTACAAACATGTTATCGAGGGATACCCCAGTTCAGAAGGTCCATCCCGAGCCGGCGCCGGGGCTCACTAGGCTAATCCTCCGCCTTGTGGTGCTGGCACACCGGGTTCTAGTCCCGGTCGGGTGCCGGATTCTGTCCCGGTTGCCCCTCTTCCAGGCCAGCTCTCTGCTGTGGCCAGGGAGTGCAGTGGAGGATGGCCCAAGTGCTTGGGCCCTGCACCCCATGGGAGACCAGGAGAAGCACCTGGCTCCTGCCATTGGATCAGCACGGTGCACCGGCCGCGGCGGCCATTGGAAGGTGAACCAACGGCAAAGGAAGACCTTTCTCTCTGTCTCTCTCACTGTCCACTCTGCCTGTCCAAAAGAAAAAAAAAAAAAAAAAAAACAGAAGGTCCATCCTCTCAGCAACACGGGGGGTTCATGTGAGTCTCAATGAAGATGGGCTACGTGGAAAGCAACAGCCTTAACTACAGGTGCCTGAAGTCACAATGAAAGGAAAGGTGAATAAGTTCCTAGAGAATGTCCTTATTTGTGAATACCAATGAGTAAGGCCTAACGATCAAGTGCATTTAATATATCAAAAATGACTATGGACAATATAAAAAGGTAGGCATTGAATTATGTCTCCCAAAAAGGTATGTTAGAGCTATAAACTCCAATATCTAAAAGAAGTGATCTTCTTAGGAGATAAAGTCACTGCAGATGTAATCAGTAACGTTAGGATGAGGTCGTGGTGACGCAGAGGGACTCAGGGTTGGTGGGAGCACACTTGCCGCACTGGCTGCAGTGCCTTCAGGAGCACTCCATGAAGGCTGTGACAACAGGCCCGCTTAGGACGAGGGGCCGACCAGGAGATACCTAGGAATTTAGCACGGAGTGTCTTCAGGTCATTCAGACATTGAGAAGTCCCTTACGTATATAAGATATTTTTTAAAATGCATAACTAGGACTAGACTCATGCTAAGATGCCTGAGAAGACTATTAACCCTAGATGTTAATTCCTAGTTTTGATAAAAGTCTGACCATGTGTTGATGCTCCAACACAGACTTATTTTGCAGTAAAGAGGAGAGGTGTTTCATTAGTATTAACTTCTTTTTGTCCCCGTTGGGTGTGTATTATTATTATTAACTTTTATTTTTAATAAATTATTATAATTTAATAATATAAATTATATTGTTATTAGTAATTAGACCCTGCTTCGTCATTGTCAAAATATTACTGGTACAAAATCTAAGGAAGTCAACCTAGTGACCGCAGAGTTAAGGAATACCATCTTAACCTAAAGAGTTTGGAAAGCCACCAAACAGGGAGCCGCCTGAAGCCTCAGCCATCAGAAAAGCACAAGCCCTGAGTGAGGAGAGAGAGAGTGAGATTCCCAGAGTCCCACTGCTACGGTAGTCACGTGCCCAGTTACCTCGTGAAAGAACATTCACAGGACTTAAAAAGAAATGGGAGAGCATGGCCTGTTCAGAGGAATAAAATAATTGACAAAAGTCATGCTGGAGGAAGCCCCCAGATCAGACTTACCAGGCATAAAATTTAAATCACTATCTTAAATACACTCAAACATCTAAAGGAACGTATAAAGAACTTGTATCACTCAGGAGAAAGAAACGTGTATGAACAGGATGAGACTACCCCTAGCAGTCAGCAAATCACCACTCAAAAGTACACTAACTGAAATGGAAAGTTCACTGCAGGGGTTCAAAAGCAAATGTGAGCTAACAAAGCATAAATGTGACTTATTTCGAGGGCAGTGCAGTTGAAACTGCTGACTCTGTGGGACAGAAAGAAATTCTGATATGTGTTTTTAAAAAGGAAGAATCTGGTCTGAAATGAAGTCATCACTCCGAATCACAAAAGAAAACAAAAAACCTGAAAAAGAAAATCAACATTAGCCCCATTGGAGAACTGAGGGTTCAGAGAAACCACTGCCAACAAATTATTTATCTGGGTGAATAGATAGTATCACAGCATGCTACAGCTTAAATCCAAGGCAGAGAGCCCCAGCAGAAGCCAGGATGAGGTTCCTTAAACCATTATTGCGGTTCTGGGTTCACTAATTATCAGGGAGATGACAATCCAAACCACAGTGAGATGTGATCATGTATCTTTCAGGATAGCTGTTATGAAAACAGGTTCAGAAATATTGGCAAAGATGGGATGAAACTGAACCCCGTGCACCCTGTGGCTGGAAATGGTATGGATGCTATGGGATGAAATGTAGACTTTCCTCAAAAACTGAAAACAGATATTCAATTTCACTTATACAGATTTTAAAATAGTCACTTATTATTAAAACTACAATAGTAGCTCATTCCTAACAATTTGTTTGATGGACTTAAAAAAAAGTGGCAAAACACTGTTTTTGCAAAAATACTGATACACAAAGTTATTTCTTTGTGTTTTTTTTGTTGTTGTTGTTGTTGTTGTCTGTTTTTGATTTTTAAAAACTTTTTGCGGCCGTTGCCACGGCTCAATAGGCTAATCCTCCGCCTAGCAGTGCCGGCACACCGGGTTCTAGTCCTGGTGGGGGCACCGGATTCTGTCCCGGTTGCCCCTCTTCCAGGCCAGCTCTCTGCTGTGGCCAGGGAGTGCAGTGGAGGATGGCCCAAGTGCTTGGGTCCTGCACCCCATGGGAGACCAGGAGAAGCACCTGGCTCCTGCCATCGGATCAGCACGGTGTGCCAGCCGCAGTGCGCCGGCCGCGGCGGCCATTGGAGGGTGAACCAACGGCAAAAAGGAAGACCTTTCTCTCTCTCTCTCTCTCTCTCTCTCTCACTGTCCACTCTGCCTGAAAAAAAAACAACAACAACAAAAAAAAAACAAAAAAAACCTTTTTGCTTCCATGTCTAAGGGAGAACATGCAGCATCTGTCTTTCTTGGGCTTACTTCACTCAGCATGATGCCCTTTAGTTGCAAAAATTTTTATGTAACTGATAGAATCTCATCTTTGTATAGCTGGAAAATATTCCATTGTATACGCCATAATGGAGTGCATCAATCCCTCTTCTGGGTACATATTGAAAGAAATTGAAACAAGATCTTGCAGGTAGATTAACACCCCTGTGTTCACTGTAGCTCTATTCACAATTACCAGGATGTGGAAAATGCCTAAATGTCCACAGACAATGAGTGTATGAATAAAATGTGCTATATTCATACAATGAAATCCCATTCAACCTTCACAGAGAAGGAAATTCTGCAACATGCAACATTGTATTGAATTATGAGGCCACTTGTGCTGAGTGAAGTAGACCTGTCACAGAAAAGAAATGGCTCATGATTGCACTTATGTGAGATGCTTAAAATAGTTAAATTCATGAAATCAGAGTAGAATGATGGCTGTCAGTGCTTAGGGAGGGGACTTGAGTTACTAGTTCATAGGCATAAAGCATCAGTCAAGAATAGAGATGTGCTGTATAATACTGCAGCTAAAGCCAGTAATAATGTATTGTATATTTGAAAATTTAAGAGGGTAGATATCTTGATAATTGTTCTTATCAAATAAAAGCACATTATTTCATCAAAACACTGAACCAGACATTAAATTTTCATGTATATATAAGTATATAAGATTAAGAAAAATATAACTTGATTTAAATATATACTGAGTTCCTGCTGTTTCATTTCCAGATGTGTTTTTTGTTAAAAAAGACTACAATACACATCAGAACAACTGGCTGATTCTGAGTTTCTACATTTTTCTGCCATTTTTCATGATTTTCATTATTGCGATCATTAGGAGAAATGAAGTGAGAAAATCATGCGACAAAGAGAACAGAGAACGTGAAGGGTAAATACAACTTAGTCAATGTATTGAGTTAAATTTCACTCTCACTGGCCAAGTGTCGTATGTTCACCCGTATGCTATAGAATGACATTTGTTCATAAATGTGTGCTACTGTAATATAGATGTTGTTCTTACAATTTCAGTTTCAGTCGTTTGCTGTTAGCATGCTGGGGCAATAAAAAGCTTCTGTTCTAGAACTTTCCTTGATGAGTGTTCACACACTCCTGGGGACTTAAAAAGTCAAAGAAAAAGACACGCACAGTATCTGTGTGCTCTTCCACTGGGGTCTAAGTCGTATAGTGGAGTTGCTTTACTTCAGGGAAAACTGTCTCTAATATACAAGTTTTGCTGCAACTTCTGTTTCATTTCTATAATTCTTTCTCTCAAATACTATAAAACACTTCTCTTCCAAATGCCTTTAAAATTATACATTATTTCTTACAAATTTATTATAAATCTGTGCTTGCTATTCTTACATCTGTGCTTCTTCGCTTCGTATGACCATTTAATCACTGAAGTCAAGAGACCCTACCTGCAGCATCACATGTGAGAGTTTGTGTTTTTACAGCTGGGTAATTTATTTATGTTGGCCCGGGTAATTTAAGGCCAACACAAATTGAATTAAGGTTCACTGAGCTCAAGGTTCTAGAAGCTGGGAGGGAAAGGGTCTGTAGCCCGCGTGGTCCTTCTCGCCTGTGGGGCCTACGGAGTCCCGGGCAGCACACATCGGGCGAGGAGCTCATTCAAGGGCCAGAGCCAAACTGGATTCCCCAACAGATCCACTCTGGAGATCATGAAGGAATTACTCCACTCACGAGGGCGGGGCCTCTGAAACCTCTCACTGGCCCCACTCCGTAGCACCTCGCCGCGGGGATCACCTTTCAACATGTTGTTGCAGGAAGGCATTGAAACCAGAGCAGTGACCAATGGTTTCAGCTGCAAAGTGCTCTTTTTCTTGGAGAATCTCTAGTTGTGCATATATCATACATATGTATTAGTCAGGTAGAGATGGGTCATATTCACTGAAAGAAGAAATGACCTAACCGGGCTACCATGATTCTTTACAGAGAGAACAGAAACAAGAATCCACAGAGACGTCTGACAGGTGACCCTGCTGAGAGGATGTGGGTGATGTACGTATTCCACAGTCCCGACTTCCCTAACGCCTCTGCCTCGGGATTCCTCAGAACTCTTCCCAATAGATCTGAGACATACGCACTTAGTCCTTCATTTTTGTGTATTCTACAAGTAACATGCACTACTCATTTTTTTGAAAGCTTTTATTTAATAAATTCAAAGTTCATAGTTACAGCTTTAGGAATATAGCGGTTCTTATCCCCATACCCGCCCTCCCACCCCCACTCCCGTCCCACCTTCTACTCCCTCTCCCATCCTATTCTTCACTAAGATTCATTTTTAAGTATCTTTATATACAGAAGATCAATTCTATACTAAGTAAAGAGTTCAACAGTTTGCATACACAGAGACACACAAAGTATAAAGTACTGTTTGAAAACAAATTTTATGGTTAATTCTCACAGTACAACACATTAAGGACAGAGGTCCTACATGTGGAGCAGGTGCACAGTGACTCCTGTTGTTGATTTAACAATTGCCACTCTTATTTATGGCATCGGTGATCACCCGAGGCTCTTGTCATGAGCTGCCAAGGCTATGGAAGCCTTTTGAGTCCACAAACTCCATCAGTATTTAGAAAGAGCCATAAGCAAAGTAGAAGTTCTCTCCTCCCTTGAGAAAGGTACCTCCTTCTTTGATGGCCCATTCTTTCCACTGGGATCTCACTCACAGAGATCCTTCATATAGATAATTTTTTGTCACAGTGTCTTAGCTTTCCATGCCTAACATGCTCTCATGGGCTTTTCAGTCAGATCAAAATGCAATCAGGGCTGATTCTGAGGTTAGAGTGCTGTTTAGGGTGTTTGTCATTCTATGAGTCTGCTGTGTGGCCTGCTTCCCATGTTGGATCATTCTCTCCTTTTGAATTCTATCTATTGTATTACCAGACACTTGGTCTTATTTATGTGATCCCTTTGACACTTATTCCTATCTATATGATCAGTTACACACTTAAAATGACCACTTTAGCATGTAAGATGGCATTAGTACCATCCAGGTTAATGGGATTTGGAGTCCTATGGCAAGTTTTTAGCTTTACCCTTCAGGGTAAGTTTGTAGGAACTCATTTTTTTTTACTGTATACCAATATACAGTATATACAATATAAAGTATACTACTTTATTGTGATTAAATTTTATTAAGATACATGTGCCCAGGAATTTGTCCATTTTTTCTGTTTATCAAATTCATTGCCAAATAATTATTCATAATAATATCTAATTATTTGTATCCTTATATTGCAGGTTGCAATTATCTATTTTTATATCTGATTTTATGTATTTTATTCTTTTTTTCATAGTCTAGCTAAATGTCCATTTGGTTTATATTTTCAAAGAAGTAGTTCTTCATTTCATTGGTTTTTTAATGGTTTCTTGATTCCACTTACTTATATTCTGAATTATATTATCTCTTTCTGATAATATTTATATTTATTTATTTATTTATTTATTTTGACAGGCAGAGTGGACAGTGAGAGAGAGAGAGAGAGAGAGAGAGAGAGAAAGGTCTTCCTTTTTGCCGTTGGTTCACCCTCCAATGGCCGCCGCGGCCGGCGCGCTGCGGCTGGCACACCGTGCTGATCCGATGGCAGGAGCCAGGTGCTTCTCCTGGTCTCCCATGGGGTGCAGGGCCCAAGCACTTGGGCCATCCTCCACTGCACTCCCGGGCCACAGCAGAGAGCTGGCCTGGAAGAGGGGCAACCGGGACAGAATCCGGCGCCCCGACCGGGACTAGAACCGGGTGTGCCGGCGCCGCAAGGCAGAGGATTAGCCTAGTGAGCCGCGGCGCTGGCTCTCTTTCTGATAATCTTGAGTTTGATTTGTTCTTTTTAAATTCCTAGTTACAGTAATAGGTTGATATCTTTCTTTTTTAATGTAAGCATTAATTGCCATAAACTCCTCCTGTTGGTGCAGCTTTTGCTGTTTCCTGTGTTTTTTTTTTTTTTAGTTTAGCCAACAATAAGTCATAACTTTATGAATGATGGAAATCATACACATTTCGAATCAAGCAGTTACTCCACTGAAGCATCAAAAAGATCCTGGAAATTCAGATGGTCACATGATTGATTGCATAGCAGCATCTACAGTGGCATTTCCGCTGGGGCTGCCTCTGCTCTCGACACCTCTGCCTGTGACATTACCAGATCCTTCCTCACTTCCACGACTGTTTCGTCGGCCTCTCCTCTTCACCGTGCTCTTGCACTCTTGGAGTCTCTGTGTTTTCCTTTCTCGTGAGCTGCGGCTTCTTCAGCTGCTGCTAGTGTGCCTGCTGAGAACATCCCTCAGGCTTGGTTTGCCCAAACGCTGTGTGGACATCTGTGATGGGCTCCTGGAGACGTCTGGTTTCGAGATGGCAAAGAGAAAATTGTTAGACTTCCAGACAGTGTCTCTAGCAACTCACGCGACCTGTCAGAGAACCAACGTGGAGATAGCCTTCCGTGCCTTCTTTTCACTCCCACCCTACTTTGCTTTACTGACTGGTTCTTCACTGATTTCAGTGGCTGCAGCCTCCTGAGCCCGTCGTGGGGTTGCCTGTGCAGGATCTTGTTCCTCAGCTCTGGCACTGCTTCCTCATTGTCAGATTCTGTCCCAGACCCCGTCTCAGCCTTGGCTATGGCCACTCCTGCTCCCTACCGGGGACAGTTTCTGTGGCTTCCCCAGGCATCGTGTGTGGGGAACATGGAACCAAGACGGTGGGAGAAAGAGCTTCCCACAGGTTTTGGTACGTTGTGTTTCCAATTCCATTTATTTCAAGAAATACTACATTTTTTCTTAATTTCATTCTTTCTCCAATGATTAAGTAGCAGGTTACATGCGTTTATGTAGCGTCTGAAGTTCTTGTTGATTTATAGTTTTCTTGCAATTGTGGCCCAACAAAGATACTCATAGATTTCTACTTCTTACAGTTCATCAGGATATATTTGGGATCTTTCATGTGCTCTGTCATGAAGAAAGCTCAATGTGTTGTTGGAAAGCCTTCTGCAGCCATTGCATGGGATGTTCTATAGGTGTCTGTTAAGGCCAATTTTGCAACTCACACTTGGTGTTCCTCTGTTGATTTTCTGTTTGGATCATTTGTCAGTTTCTGAAAGTAGGGTATGAAATTCCCCTACTTTTTTATATTTGAATCTACCTCTTTCTATAGACTTATTAATGCTTAGTTTATGTATCTGAGTGTACTGATGTTGGGCTGATATTTTTTACAAGTATTGCTTCCTGTTGGTGAAATGGACCCCTAATCATTATCTAATGATCTTGTCTCATTTTTACTGCTTTAGGCACAAAATCTATTGTATCTGACATGAGCATGGCTTGCTGTCGCTCTATTTATGGTCCATTTGTATGGATTATCTTAGAATCCATCCTTTCACTTTCAATATGAGTGTATTCTTAAAGAAGAGAGTTTCTTTTTTTAAGGAAATATTTATTTATGCATTTATTTAAAAGACAAAGTGAGAGAGAGACAGTGGGAGAGACAGAAAGATCTTCCATCCACTGGTTTATTTCCCCAATTTCTACAATGGTCCAGGCTGGGCCAGGCTGAAGCCAGGAGCCCAGAACTCAGTCAAGATCTCCCATGTAGGTGGCAGGTTCCAAAGTACCTGGACCATCATCCACTGCTTTCCCAGGTACAACTACATACATACATGGAAATCAGACAGCTTACTACTGCACAATCAATGCATAAACGAGCAAAAATAAGAAACAGTCGGAAGCTAGGACTAGACAGGGAGCTAGAACAGAAATGAGGCAGCCAGAACTCAAGCCAACACTCCCGGATGCTGCCAGGGCAAGTGGTAGCTTAGCCCACTGTGTCACAACTACGGCCTTTAAGCAGTCTGTAGTTGTTGTTGTTTTTAATTTTAATCAATTCTGTCAGCCTGTGTTTTTTAATTGAATTTACGTCACTCACGTTTTAGGTAATTATTAACAAGCAAGTTCTTTCTATTGTCATTTTGATACTTGTTTTCTAGTTTTGTTGTAGTTCCTCTCTTACTCTCTTTTGTATTATCTTCCTTTGTTGTAAAGTGGTTTTCTGTAGTAGTGTGTTTTGATTCCTTTATTATCTTTAGTAAATCTACTAATACATTTTTTCTTTGTGGCTACCCCAAGGCTTACAAATAAAACATAAAGTTTGGTTATAACAAACTATTTTGAAATGATAACAGCTTGACATTGATTGTAAAGACAGCAAATGAAGAAATAAGAAGTATGAGTGAAAATAACTCTGTTCTTGAACTCCACTCCTCCTAACATTCTCAATTTTTGGTAACCGATTTCACATCTTTATATTCTGTCTTTTAACATTATTGTATACGTTATCATTAATTGTTGTCAGGGCCTTCTGAATCTGTATGTGTAGCTACTCTTTCTTGTATTTTCCTCTTACTTATCGAAGTCTTCTTCCAGTCTGAAGAGCTCCCTTTAGGATTTTTTGTGAAACAAGTCTAGTGTGATAAGTTCTCTCAGCTTCCCTCTGTCTGGGGAAGTCTATCCCTCCCTCATATCTAAAGGATAGCTTTGCTGGGTACGGTTTTGGCTGGCAGCTATTTCCCTTCAGTACTGTGGGAGTCTTGTTCTGCTGCCTCCTGGCCTAGGAAATTTCTCCTGAGCAGTCTGCGGTCAGGCAAATTCGGCCCTCTTCTGTATTCATTGATTTCCTCTTGAGGACTTATTGATTGCACTATGTCCTGGGGTAGACTCAGTAGAATCGGATCTGGGAACCACTGACATGTGCATCTCTCCATGTTTCAGAAGTTTTCTGATACCAACTTCTCAAGCCCCTCTTTGCTCCATTTACCCAGGTATTTGCTCTTTTAACGCTGCACCAAGGGTTTCTCCTGATTGTTTTTTTTCTTCTTTTTTCTCCTGTTTCCAAATAGCCTCTCTTCATGCAAGCAGATTTTTTTTTTCTGTTTGATCTCTTTTCGATGAATTTTGTTGACCGTGATTTTCATTTTGAAGGCTTTCTGTTTCTTTTTTTAATTTTAAGCTAATATGAAACCATTAAGTTGTTTTTCTCTGTTCTCTTGAAGTCCATTACGTTTCCTAAAACAGATACTCTGAATTCATCTGAGCCCTTGACAAACTCAGTTGGACAGTGTTGCTCTGGTACTTTGCCCATTGAGTGAGTCCATGGTCACCTTAGAATTCTTGACACTGGGACAGAGCACTGCCTGTGCACTGAAGGGTTATTTGCTTTTCGCTGTCTTTGTTTTTGTTTCTGAGTGTCCTTCCAGAAATTCTAAGCAGTTCACTTATTTCAAGTCTGCGGGTACTTCTGCTGCTTCAGCGCTCGGTGGCGCCCTAAATCAAGGTTTGCCACAAGTCCTCTGCCAATGCACTGTCACTACCTCCGTGGTAGGTTGAGCTCAGGTTGCACCAAATCTGCAGCCTCAGGGGCGGCGTCCAGAAAGCGGTAGCCGCGCCCTGCAAACCTCCCGTAGATGTTGAGCAAGGTTCAGACCTGGGTTCTACGGCCATCCGTGCGGCATGCTAGAGCACACACAGAGCCTGCTCAGTCCAGTCCAGTGCAGGAGTGCAACCAAAGCTCGCACTGCTGGGCATTTTGCTGAGGCAGAGTTGCTGCAAGGAGCCACAGCAATGCTGGCTGAAACGTCTGCGTGGGGGGGTGGCATGTCCACAGCCTGTTCCCTGGGACTGGCCTGGGAAGGGAGGGTCGGATCCGCCCACTGTTAGATTTCACTAGCCCAGCTGGCACTGAGTCTCAAGACACCAGTCCTGTCCGGTGTCCCTGGTGGAAGACCCTCCTCTCTCTCACTCTGGCTCTCGCTCTGTGTGCGTCACCCTTTCTTTCAAATAGATAATGATGAATAGACATTTTAAGATATAATAATAATGGCAAAGTGATAGTAAGCAAATCATTACCTGAACGTTAGTCATAGTGAGAATCCTTTGCACATGATTGCTATTGTCTTCACATGTGTGAACTCCCAGTTGATGGGAAAAATCTGTGTCTAATCTTTTATTTATTCTTAGGTGATTTTAAGAAACAAAATTGTACTAAACTGGTGAAATAAATAGATTTGGACTATTCTTACAGTCACTTTATAGTTGTAGTTTTTCTGTCTGGTACTTGCTTTTTAAGTCAATACTAATGTAATAAAGTGAATAATTTTATATTTAGCCTTATGATCTGGAATTCATAGATAGTTTTCCAAGAGTCAGACTTATCTCTAATAGTTATCTTTTGGTGTCTGGGTATAATTTGATCTGAAATTTGTAAAAGAAATGCAGCATTAGATAAGGATTATACTGGGAGCTGGCTGCCACTGAACACACTGTAAATTTCTATTTTTTTCTGTTTTCCTTCACTGTAGTAATTCATCCATTGTCCCAGTAAGCTATGATGTGGAATACTGATATTGCTAAGAACTACAAAAAAATAATCTAAAGGAGAAAGTGTGTTTTATAACTCTTCTGCTACCCCAAATGCATTTTAAATGCTAAATTTCTGGAAAATAAAGTCTATATTTGCCAAAGCTCGGGCTCCCATGTGTTTCTCCAAGTGCAGCAGCAGTGGTGGGCCCCCTGTTGAGTGTCTGGTGAATGGAACCTACAGAGCTAGGAGCTGGAACGGCCTTTCCAGACCACCCTATGGTTCCCCTCAACCTCCTTCAGCCAGGCAGGAGCCCGGAGCCCAGTGGTTGCAACTGCTGCCATTCTACTCCCAACAGCAAGGGTGTTGTCCCAGCCAGTCTGCCATGCAACACTGCATCCTCTCCTGACCCTCTCAAGTCTGGGCCCACCGACGTCCATGGCCCAGGGCAAGTGGTTAACCCTGCTGGGAAGTTGCTCTACTTTTCCTGTACCACAAGGTCACACCAGCTTCACCTTCCATGTTCTACAAACTCAAGTCAGGCTGCGGAGGGGTTTGTTAGAGTCCAGTCTCAGGACCCAAGAGCTAGAGAGGGTGCTTGCTGGGCTACATGGCTGGAGGACTCAGTGTAGACCTGGAACAGGCACCCTCACTTAGCTGACCTTGAACAAGAAGGTGTGTGTCTCCTGGGACTGAGAGGGAAAAAAGTAGCCTTGATGGGTCAAAGACCTTCAGCCCACACGTCCATCATTCAAGGCTGAGAAGCCCCCACGTGTCTCTGGACAGAGGTTGGGTCACTCTCCCACCTCTGGAGGAGACCCTTCCTGGGATCGAGTATGGTTCTGTGGCATCTGTGTCTATTAGGGCTTGGATGTTCATAGAGTGATGAGGGTTGGGAAGACAAGTAGCTGTGCAACCAGGAGGTTGGTGCCCATGGGGGCTGCAATGCGAATACTCTGGTGACGGCGGGTTCGGAAACACCACTCCTGGAGATGGCAGTGCCTCACAGACTGGGCGAACACTTGCGGCCGCACTGTGTCGGTAAAACCCCTTCCTAGAGTTATGTTTGGCTCAGGCTTACTTTGTCAAGAGTTGTTTTTTCTTAATGAGAACAAATGGTTTGACATTTGCTTTTTCACTAATCTCCCTTATCAAGTAATATACGAATATAGTGGGAATATTTTTAAAGATTTATTTATTTAATTGAAAGAGTGGCAGAAATATATATATATATATTTAGAAATATATATATATTTCTCATGTGGGTGGCAGGGACCTAAGCATTTGGGCCATTTTCTGCTACCTTCCCAGGTGTATGAGCAGGGAGCTGGGTCAGAGGCAGAGCATCTGGGACTCATGTCCTGTGTGTTGCACTACAATACTGCTGCCACTATGGAAATATGTTCAAAATATTTTTGAAATGCAGCCTTAGAAAAAAAGTGTCCCAGGCAGGGAGTAATCAAAATGGCTGAACAGAGAGGACCTGCGATCACCCCAGCCCAAGGAAAGTTCCAGAACAACAAAGAAATGGCCAGAGCTGCAGGAGACTGAGAAAAAGAAGTGACAGGAACTGCCAACAGCACAGAGACTGCAAAAGCCAGCAGGGAGACAGAAAACAAAGCACACAACACCACCTGCGCGGGCTGCCAGCCAAGGGACTCCCTCTCGGCAGATCAAGGTAAATGAAAACACGACGACCACAACCACAGGCAGCCGTGACTACTGGAGAATCCCACAGCCCTGCAGGAGTTCTGGACACAAGACACGGGAGAATCCCACTCCGCTGTGGGAGTTCTGGACACAAGCCCCAGAATAAGGTTCAACGCCCTCCGAGCAACCCGGGAAAGTTCCCTTCCACTTCTTGGAGCTTGGTGCCAGCAGCGCCCCATACACAAGCTCAGAGGAGCAGACCTGAGGGATCCCTCCAGGTGCAAGGCAAGGGCCCAAATGTCAGCACTGCACGCCCCGTGGGAATTCAGAATAGTCCCTACTGCTTTATGTTAATAGCTTTCTAATGATTTATTTATTTATTTGAAAGGCAGAGTTACATGGGTGCAGGGCCCAAGTGCTTGGACCATCTTCTACTGCCTTCCCAGGCACAAAGCAGGGAGCTGGATCAGAACCCGAGTGTCCAGGACTTGAACTGGCAGTCCATTATGGGATGCCAGTGTCACAGGCAGCAGCTTAACCTGCTGTACCACAACACGAACAGGTGCCATTGTGGAAAGCTGGCTTCGCAGACAGCAGCTTAGCCAGCTACTCCATAATGCAGGCCCAGCAAAAGCTTTTTCCTAGATTTATTTATTTATTTATTTGAAAGAACTACACAGGGAGAGAAGGAGAGGCAGAGAGAGAGAGGTCTTCCATCTGCCGGTTCACTCCCCAATTAGCTGCAACGACCGGAGCTGCGCCGATCTGAAGCCAGGAGCCAGAGCTTCTTCCGGGTCTCCCACATGGGTGCAGGGGCCCAAGGACTTGGGCCATCCTGCACTGCTTTCCCAGGCCACAGCAGAGAGCTGGATCAGAAGAGGAGCAGCCGGGACTCAAACTGTGGGTTTCTATGTGGGTCGCTGCAGGGGGGTGGCTTTATCAACTAAGCCACAGCGTGGGCCCCAGGATTTCTTAATCTTTATTGTTTTCCAGCATCTTGGGCCTTTGGTAAAGCACAACATTATTAGACTTTTTCAAAATTTGCTACTTGTGCACTACAAAAGACAAACCACAAACTGGGAGAATGTATTTGCATACCATGTATCTGGCATTGGACTTGAATTGAACATACCTAAAGAATTCCTACCTCTTGGATAAAGATGAGAAACAGCTTGAGTTTTAAAAGATGGGCAACATTTGAGTACACGTTTTACCAAAGTGTGATTCATAATGGATACATGAGTGAATGATGATATCTTCGTAAGAAGATACTTCACATTTTCGTGGTGGGAAATGACTGTGGAGAGACTACACTCAAAAAGGCCAATAACAAAATACCCTGACAAGGATATGAAAGGGAAGACATCCCATATTGCTGATAGGAAACTAAAATTATACAACCACTTGGGAAAACAGTGTGCAGGTTTCTTAGATATTAAATATAGGGCCAGTGCTGTGGCATAGTGGGTAAAGCCTACAGTGCTGGCATCCCATATGGGCACCTGTTTGGGTCCCGGCTGCTCCAGTTCTGATCCAGCTCTCTCCTATGGCCTGGGAAAGCAGTAGAAGATGGTCCAGGTTCTTGGGCCCCTGCACCTGCATGGGAGATCTGGAGGAAGCTCCTGGCTCCTGGCTTTGGATTGGCGCAGCTCTGGCCATTGCGGCCAACTGGGGAGTGAACCAGTGAATAGAAGACCTCTCTCTCTCTCTCTCTCTCTCTCTCTCTTTCTCTTTCTCTCTGCCTCTCCTTCTCTCTTTATGTAACTCTGACTTTCAAATAAATAAATAAATATTCTTTTTAAAAAAAGTTAAATATGAATCTTACAACCCTGAAGTTCCACTACCATCTATTGACCCAACAGAAATAAATGCATATGTCCCCACAAGACACCCCAAAATATTATCCAATTAGTGAATAAATTACAAAATGGGGTCTACCTACACAATGGAATATTACCCAGCGATGCTGGATCATATGTTTATTCTGTGTTTAATGTGCTAATGCAGAGCTTTCTGACTTGTTAGAGATGTTATATGCACTGTTTCCCATTTTCACCACAGTGTGGAAGGGCTCCATATATCCATATCTTTCCTAAAACTGTTTTGACTTAGAATAGTCATCCAAGATGTGTACTTCATGATTTTGATTTGCACTTCTTTGATCACTAATGATGTGATCATATTTCCATATGCTCTTTGATTATTTTTTCATATGTTCTGTGGAGAAATGTATTCAATTCATTCATCTGTTTATGATTTAAATGATTCACTTTTTCTGAGTTGTAAAGGCCATGATATAATCCAGAAATAAATATTTGATCAGATGTATGGTTTGCAAAAACTGTATCTCTTTCTGTTCGCTTACAAGTTTTTGTGTAGGTTCTTTGAAACCTTTTAAGTTTCAAAAGATATGAACCAAAATAGAAGAGAAAAAATAGAAATAAAAAATAAGTTTATTTTTACATAAGAAATATACTCTCATGACAAGATAAATAGATGGATGGTGATCAAAGCAGAACACTGGCAAAGCTGGTTCTGTGGCATAGCAGGTAAAGCCGACACCTGTGACACTGGCTTCCCTTACGCGCCTTGGTTTGCATCCCAGCTGCTCCACTTCCGATCCAGCTCCCTGCTAATGCACCTGGGAAAGCAGCAGGAGATGTCCCAAGTGCTTGGGCCTGTGACACCCATGTGTGAGATCCAAATGAAATTTCTAGCACCTGGCTTTGGCTTGTCCCAGTGCTGTCCATTGTAGCCATCTGGGGAATGTACCAACAACAGATGGAAGATTCTCTCTTTCTTTCTGAATTTTGAAACAAATAAATAAATTTTTAAAGAAATAGAAGACTAGTAAAGGTTATAAAATACTGATAATATTAATCCAAAAAATAATGGAAAGTCACAAATAAGCTATGTTAGGAACAGACAGATCATATGAGCTACAAATGTTAAGGCAGCAGATCACAATAAACAATGTGAACATGAATTTTAAAAGTTATATGAAATGGAAAGTTCCTGGAAAAATATGACTCATCCAGTTGACTGAACATAGACAGAGGTTAAATAATTTTCACATATATATTTAATTTATTTTGAAAGACCAACAGGAAGACAGAGATTGCCATCCTCTGGGTTATTCCTCAGATGCCCATAAGAACTGTGGCTAGGTTAGGCTGAAGCCAGGAGCAGGGAACACAAGCCAGGTCCCCAGCACAGGTGGCTTTAACTCAGCCTGCTGCTGCTGTTGCATTAGCAAGAAGCTGGAATAAGGAGCAGAGCTGGGACTTGTATCCGGGCACTTCAGTATGAGATGCGGGTGTGCCAATGGTATTTTTTTTTTTTTT